GAAGGGGTAAGAAGCAAGCTCAACTCATTGTCACTGATGGTTTCATGGAAGGACACAAGGTGAGAGTTTTAATTGATCCTGGAGCAACTGAGAATTTTCTATCAAGGAGTGTTGCTATGAAGTTAGGTTTGATGTTGATGAAGGACGTGAGTGAAGAAGTTGAATTGCCAAACGGGCAAAGTGAAGTGATAGAAACACTACCACGGAGTGTAGAATTATCCATAGGTAGATACAATGAGAGCATTGAATGGAGAGTAATTCATTTAGCTCGATATGATGTCATCCTTGGAATGCCATGGATGGAACAATATAATCCGAAGTTAGATTGGAGAAGAAAAGTGATTACAAGTAGTGGATGGAAGATCTATGGAGATAGAATTAGATCTCAGAATAGGAATTTACCCCTCTTTGTGATGGGTACAACATCCATTTCTAGAGATGATGTATGTTTCCTTGGACTTATAAGAGATATTGGGTCCACGGACAAACCTTACATCCCGGAGTCCTTGAACGACATTTTTATGGAGTATAAAGATGTTTTTCTAGATGATCTACCGGCAGGATTACCACCAAAGAGGCGAGTAGATCACAAGATTGAGGTGATACCTGGAAGTACACCAACTTGCAAAGCTCCATATCGTTTGGCTCCAAACGAATTGGAAGAATGCAAAACTCAAGTGGAGGAGATGTTGAGCAAGGGATTCATTCAACCAAATGTTTCACCTTATGGAGCTCTAGTACTCTTTGTGAAGAAGAAGGATGGATCCATGAGACTATGTATTGATTATCGCGGGTTGAATCAGCAAACGGTGAAAAACAAATATCCATTACCTCGTATGGATGATTTTGTTTGATCAACTTCAAGGAGCGAAGTACTTCACCAAACTAGATTTGAGAAGCGGCTACAATCAAATTCGAATTGCAGATGAAGATGTTCACAAGACAGCTTTTCGTACTAGGTATGGACACTTTGAGTATCTGGTGATGCCTTTTGGTCTCACTAATGCACGAGCTACATTCATGGGATTGATGAACGATATCTTTCGCCCTTATCTAGATAAATCTGTCATTGTTTTTCTAGATGATATATTGGTGTATAGCAAAACTTTGAGTGATCATAGAAGTCATTTACGAGAGGTACTTCAAGTTTTAAGAGACAATCAATTGTATGCCAAAGCTTCAAAATGTAAATTTGGCAAGTCAGAAGTAGATTACTTGGATCATAGAGTTAGAGCTACAGGAATCCAAGTGATGAGTGAGAAGATAGATGCCATTCAGAAATGGATAGCACCTGAGGATCAAACTCAATTGAAAAGTTTTCTAGGGCTCACTAGATTCTATCGTAGATTTGTGAAAGGTTTTGCTCGACTAGCTCAGGCCTTGACTTCCATGTTAGGGAAAGGTCAAAAGTGGAGATGGGGAACAGCTCAAGAGTTAGCTTTTCAAGCATTGAAAGATGCTTTGTTACAAGCACTTATTCTCAAGTGGTATGATCCTAACCGTTCTATCAAGTTGGCCACTGACACATCAGGTACAACAGTAGGTGGCATACTTCAACAAGAATGGGAGGATGGATGACATCCAGTTGCTTTCTATTCTCGAAAGTTGGTGGCGGCGGAACAAAATTATCACACTACAGAACGGGAAGAGTTAGCTATCGTGTTGGCAACCAAACATTGGAAGCATTATTTGGGTGATAAGGAGTTTGTGGTGGAGACTGATCATAAACCCTTGGTCTATTTGGAAACTCAGAAGGATCTGTCCAAACGACAAATTCGATAGGCAGATTGGCGTCAACGCTTCAACATGAAGATTGTGTACGTGGAGGGAAAGAAGCAACTTGCAGATGCTCTCACACGCATGCCTTGTTTGAATCATGTTGCAGAAGTGAAAATTCAGGCGGATTGGTGGAGCAAGATGTCACAAGCCACAAAGGAGTATGAAGAGATCACTCAGACACTACAAACTGGAAAGGCAGAGAAATATCGAGCTTTGGCGTTTTACAATCAGCGTATATGGATTCCACAAGATCACGATTTGCGCGCAATGATTTTGGCAGAAAGTCATGATACAGCCATTGCAGGTCATGTGGGAGTAAAGAAAACCGTGGAGAGTATACAACGAGTGTACTATTGGCCCAAAATACGTGAGGATGTGGAGTCTTATGTTCGAAGTTGTGTTGCTTGTCAACAAAACAAGGCAAGTAATCAAAAACCAACGGGTTTATTACAGCCTCTTCCTATTCCCGAACAACGGTGGGAACATGTCACCATGGATCTTGTATGTGAGTTACCAAGGACTTCGTTAGGACATGATTCAGTGGTGGTTTTTGTGGACAAATTGAGCAAGATGATTCACATCAGGCCAACCACAAAAACAGTAACAGCTCCACAACTAGCTCAATTGTACCTAGATGCAGTTTTTGTGAATCATGGCTTAAGCAAAGTGTTGATCACGGATAGAGTTACTCACTTCACTAGTTTATTTTGGAAAACTTTGTTTAGTTTTTTCAAAACAAAACTAGCGATGTCAACGGCCTATCACCCTCAAACTGATGGACAAACAGAGAATGCAAATAGAACCACAGAGGATATGCTACGAGCATTCACATTAGAAGAGCAAGAAGAGTGGGACAACCTTTTGCCACTTGTGGAATTTGCATATAACAATTCTGTTAATGCATCCACAAAAGTGTCTCCATTTTTTCTTATGTATGGAGTTCATCGATAACTCCTTCAAGTTTGATGAGACTTCCCAAAGGAGAGAAGTTTTCGACCAAAGTTGCAACAGTCAACGAATTCGTGGAACATATTCACCGAGGACTACATCAGGCCAAGGAGAAGTTGGTGATAGCTCAAAATCGGCAAAAGCAGCATGCCGATGCTCATCGTAGAGAAGTGATTTTTGAGGTTGGAGATCATGTTTGGTTATCTACAACGAATTTGTCTCTTGTAGGAACACCAAAGTTAAACCCTAGGTTCATTGGTCCATTTTTGGTTTTGAAGCGTGTTGGTGAAGTGTCATACAAGTTGGAACTTCTGTCACATATGAAAATACATCCAGTATTTCATGTGTCACGATTGCGAAAACATGTACCACGACCAAAACAATTCACCAACCAACCAGCACCACCTCCTCTTCCAACCTTGATAGTAGATCATGAGGAGTTTGAGGTAGAAAAGATACTCAAGAAACGTATTTGAGGTCATAAATATCCCAAAGTAGAGTATTTGATTCGATGGAAAGACTATACATCGTATGAATCAACTTGGGAACCAGCTAAAAATTTAGCAAATGCACCTTTGATAGTTCAAGAATTTGAACGTATGTGCAACGAGTACGTTGCATCTTAAAAGGAGGGAGATTTGTAACCATCTTTAGTTAGTTAGAACTAAAGTAGAGGTTACTCTGAATATTGATGTACATACTTTAGTGTGCACTAGTCATAACTGCCACGTCAGCGATCCGCGCACTTGATAGGTACAGAGTGGATGTGTTAGTTGACAGTGCCAAGTCAACAATTCGTGTGCTTGTAGGTAAGGATTGAGTGTGTTAGTTGGTGCGCCACGTCATCCATCCACTAGGAGTGGGATGGATGGTGTGGATTAGATGTTATCACCTTGTACTTGTTGGTGAGAGCTATATAAGGAGAGGAGAACCATTGTTGGTGTCTCTCATCTTCAGAGTTTACGTTTGTATCTTCGAATGAACTTCTCTCTAAACCCTAGTGTTACATACTACAAGTAAAACATGAGTTGTTAAGCTTAAATTAATAATTGATATTGAAAACAAAGTTATCTTTACTGTGTATTCAAATGCAGACTTCCTATTTGGTTGACAAATCTGACAGAATAAAACTGGACGTGTAGAGGCGATGACATCTTGCTCAAGGTGATGTTCCAGTGGTTTAGCTGACGTTGAATTCTAACAAAGTTGCGTTATTAACGACAGCGGGTTATGGATATTCGTGGCTCATGGTGAGAATAATGTCGGAATGGAGAAGAATTTGTGATAACAATTTGATAATCAATTCACCTGTAGTTGTGAGATTAAACGCCCAAGTACTGAGAAATTCACTCCTTCTAATAATGCATGGCTTCCGGCCAGTCACTCACCCTCATGAAACGAGTGTCATAAATGAGTAAACTAATTTGAGTAATCCTGATACATCAATCGCTATTCTGTCGATTCAATACACGACGCAATCGTGTACTATGGTCAGATTGCTCTCTGTAAAATTCCATTTTTGGATAATGTGACACCACAAGAAAAATTCTTCTACCTGATTATTTAAGCACATAACAAATTACCAAATTTACATTTCTTACTAGTTAATTATTATTACCACTGACTATATAAATGACTCCTAAAAAAACCAAAGCTCTTTTGCTCCACTCGACACAGGATTATATTAAATTCTTACCAGTCCATATTATTCAGGAAGCAAGGAGCGCGCTTCAAAGGATGGTGTGTACTATCTTGCCCTTTTGAAGACTCGTTCTTCAGGTGCAACCAAAAATACATTTTTGACATCTGGTTTTATAAATATATTTCGAGAAATCAAAGCTGGCGAATCTGGCAACTCTCGCTGTTCCGAACACTCGTAGCGGGCCTGGACAGACACAAGGGAACCTTGATCTATAAAATGCACAAATCGTCCGATATATCTGCTACGGACGATGAATGTGTCGTGAAACAAAGACTGTTCCATCCCGAGCGTAAAAATGGGACATTCAGTATCAAACAGAAGCGTCAGATAACACGTCCAGTTGTTCTTCAAACTCTTAGAAGCATTAAATGGAGATTGCCAGCTAAATATATATGTCGAAATGAAATGGACTTTTCCGGCAATTGACATAAACTGGGATAACCAATTATATCCAAGTCATGCGCCATGACCCAACAAGCTACTACCACTCCAAGTAACTTCACATATTACTGATCAGTTGGTAAAAGTCTACTTCAGCTCAATTTGATACGAGAAGTTCAAATAACGGCTTAAAAACAAACATCTCTGCAGAAGCGGACTGATGTGTTATCTTTTGTAAAAAGTTTACATGGGATAGAAGACACGAAAGTGAGCAGCACTCAGTGGCTTTAATGAGCCTTGCAGCAAGACTGCGAACTCCTCCTTAGAATTGAAAATTCACAAAATTTCTGCTGCTCACATCCAAGTGATACTTAACACTACACTAGGAACGTCTGCTGTATAGAGGTACAAACCCTGGACAGTTAATCAATGACCTGAGTAAGAACTGAGTAGGATGTATTTAAAGTGAATTTGCTCAGACTGGCAATTTATCCTGATAAAAGAAAGTGAAAAAATACAACTTGATGATCAGAGCCAGCCCTAATTGCACTGCTGCAGACCCCGTCACGATCAGAAACCACCGTTCACTTGCGGTCTTAATGTGTGACCTGATATTAATCGCCAAAAATAGTGCAGACATAACTCCCGCAAGGCCTACTGCAACCCAGCGAATTATTTCAACTGGCACAATCGAAAAGAACTGAACCACGAGATTTGCAAGTTAGGCCACCATAACGGTCCTACTTACAGCTCCAGCGTAGATAAAATTATACAGGACTAACCATAACTCATGTATTCAATATCTATAATTTCTAAGCGGTTTAAATATATAAATGTGCACTCATAAGATGAGACTAACTTTGAAAGGAAATAGATTTAGGAGCCAGAGAAGATTATTGAAAGATATTCGACTTGATTTCGCAGAAGGGAAAGTGCTTACCGAAGCTGGAATGAAGATGAATAGGGAGTATCCATATAGGCACCATAGCTGCACTAAGCCGGAGGTAACAGTCAAGTACTTGAGAAGGAAGTAGAGCGCCAACGGCACTATTCCTACATAACCATAAAAGAGGCCAGCCGACCAAGTAACCTGGTTTATATCGTAATGCCAAGCGCTGCTGCCATCGGCACTGGTCTTGTGTGCTAGGTAAGCTGCAAAGTTTCCTATAGCTGCAGTCAAAAAGACCAGAGTCGAGCAGATCCAAAAGGGCCCGTACCTGGTATAAACCTCGGCAAGTCAGATAACAGAGAAAGAGTGAAGGGCTTATAAAGTTACGACCTATCATATTCTAAAGATGTACAGATCTAAATAATTATAGTTCTCAAGAATATGCATTTTGAATCTTAGGCTGAGCTGTCAGTCTTTTTAGCTTTCACAAATTTTCTCAAACACTATAACTGTCAATGGTGCATAAAGACAGTAAATGATAGATCTCTACTGCACATTGCATGGCAAGCTAACATGTCATAACTTAGCCAGCAGGATCTGGACTCACTTGCTACGGCTTGGACTGAGATCTGCTTTGGTAATATTGCATTATTTTGTGTGAAGGTTGAGGCCACGTTAAGGTTCCAAGCTATTCATGACATAAGTGGAAAGGATATGAAAACCAACATGTCAGGGTTGTGGCTGGTCTTCTCCACGAAGTCGCCTCTGAATGGGAAAAGAGAGTCCCTGATCCTGTCCAAGACATCTTGTGTGTCGACGTTGAAGTAGGGACGGTAAGACACGACACTGAAGAGACCCATTAAACCCGAAGATGGCGCGCCATCATTTCCTTGTCCTCCTGGCCCGGGTTTTGAAAACGTGTCTGTGATCCAACACGATCAATAACGAAGGGCACATGTAAGCTTCGATGATTACTAGACCAAGATATCATTATACGCAGGAGTGAAACAATCACTTGCGACATTTTGCGGCAATATATTTCATAGTTCAAAGTGCTGTTCCATAAGCACAAAGTGGCCTGTAGTTAAGATTGTTTGAAATGTGGATTCGGTAATGGGCTTGATTGAAAGCATAAGACAGTTCACTTGAAAGATGTCATCCTTCGGAAACTTCAGAAGCTCGACTGGCCTCAATAGAAGCTGTAGAAGTAAAAAGTGAAAAATTTGCATACCATCAGCATCTCGTGGAGGTTGGAATGTCCCTGTAACTTTGCCCCGGGTGTCATTGGGAGGAAAAGTTTGCAAGCTAGATTCTGCAAGCAGATATCAAGCAGACGTTAATCACATGGTCTAGACACTGCTAAAAAAATTTGTAGAGCCAATTAGCTTGGTAGAAGTTCCAGGCTAGCTATTAAGCCATACCACTTTTACATGAAAGCACAATGGCAACATGTGATCGGAAACCGGTCCTGTCCCCAAGGGCCCTTTTCATCACTCGGATGGGGTAACTTTTCTTGGTTTCTCAGTAGTTTGTATACCAGCTGAATCATTTGTAATCTTACTCTCTTACTTCTAAAGACCCAGGAAAGAGGGAACAAACTCCTTTCAAGACACTAGTGGCACACCACAGTCTGTTATTTCCAGTAACAAATAGAGGGCCGTGGTGTATGAGCAGAAGCGCAGTGGAAACTGAAGTCAATGAGAACGAATATTCACTGGTCAGTGATTGATTGCGGACTGCTTGATAGATAGTGTATAAAGGATTCCGTATTGTCAGGATACAAGCCCATGATATATATTTGAATTATGAAAGCTGTAACTCTGATCTTCTGGCCCTTTCAACAGCAGTGATAATTGGGCGGGCAGACAAGAGGCCACAACAAAGAAAGCTCACAAGGCTAAAATTTCGTCACCTTGAAACTGCAGTCGGTGATCTGGACCAGCAGCTGCAACCTGATGGCACCACCTCGAAAAGCAAAGAAGCGACAGTCATTACTCCTAGTAAACACAAGACACAACGATCGAGACTGCCAGACTCTCAATCTAGAAATCTTCGCAAGGTCATCGGGTGAACATTGCGCTTAAAGAATCAAATGACAAGAAACCCTGACGTGCCACATGGAATGTGTTCAGCAAAGCCAAATCAAGCGACATGACTTGAAGATCTATAGATATCACCTCCGACAGACAGCAAGACAAACACCGTGTCCATCACGTGACGAGCAAACTTCTACCCATCGCTCCCTGAGAACAGATCCTGGACAGGGCTTGCACTCGAAGATGGAAACACCCAATGCAAGGCACCACAACTAGCCTCATTTCACAATTCTAGATGCTGAGATCAAAAAGACGGTAGGACCCCTAATCATCCAATCGGATCTCAAGGGACGAGAAACAGGGGGACACACGAACGAATCCACAACGCAAAGCGAGCCAAAAGATAGCGATAGGGAAGATCATCTGCGGCACATACAGGAACTGATCCAGACACGGCCTCGGATCCTAAGCTCGTGTAGCCGCCCGACATCTTTTCCTGTACTCGTCTCGTGGACTCGAATCAAAAGACCGAACTTCTCGTCTTTCCTTGGAAGGATAATTGCTCCCCGACACTGAAATTCGCTGGACCCCCGGCCTCGATCGATCAATCAATGATGCAGACGCCAGTGCGTTACGCGCGGATGCTGAGCATTTCCACGACAGCTAAGCGTCCCTTCCATAAGAAGAGCTCTACCTTCGCTGCCGCTCGCTCCCCCGCTCGCTAAAGCACACAGCGATCACCTGCAAGCCTCTTTGCTTCCTCCTTCACGAGCAGCGCAGTGTTTCCCGAGTGCTGCCACGACCTCGACCCATCGACCTTCCGCTCCACAGTTCGCTCGACGCCTTCAATCGCCCTCGACGTCGGCCCTCGCTTCTTTTCTGGTCGCCGATTCTTCTTCCCGGCGTCGCTGCTTTGCTTTGCTTTCCTATTTCGTCGCTGAGCCTTGACGGCAGGCAGTTTAGTGCTGCGACTTGACCATGGGTTACCCGCCACTCCGGTTAACTAACTCACCAGCATTCTTGGATGTGGAAAGTCAGAGTTACGGAGACGGAACATCTGTTTTCCGACGTCGTGTCGAATGTTGATTGAAACAATACCGGAATAATCCGCTTGACATCAGATTATATTACTTCACTTTTTTTCGAGGTAAAATACATTTTCCTTTGGGATGGAGGATGAAATTCCTTCGTACAAGACTTCTTTTAGAAGTGATTAGATTGCTTATCGAGTTCATGATTTTGTAAAAAATATATATCTTAATATAACCCGCCTTAACTGCATACAGTTTCAATATATCTCTACATCTACATGCTGGTGTGAAGAAGCTAGCCTTCTAATGTACAGTGTCATTACTTTACAGAACTAGTTAACTCATCTAATTATGTACATATATTTACATTGCTCTCCTAAGCACCAGTTGTTGCTGTAATGAAGATCAGTAGGAACTTATGATTCTGCGGAGGTAACTTACACATCGTTCAGATATCTGAGATGCAATAAGACAGCTTTTCTATTCGATGTAATAGGATTGTTCACCGATTGGTTTTATATGAATATGTCAGTATGTATGACTTGTGTTTCCCCCACACTCTTTGCTATATTCCTGGGTGCTTTCAACTGAAGTGTTGTATCCATCGATACGAGATTTTCCCAAAAGTAATTTATTTTCAGACTGACTTGGTAAATGGGTAAAAAGTTGTATTTTGGCTTGGAATATATTTTCAAAGTTATTAATAGATCTCGTAAGTAAAACTGATGTGAACAGATTACTTTATAATTATTTGAATATATGTAATTTATTTATTTGGAGAAAAAATCACATATTTAATCAGTTCGCTCATCACTATACACCATCTGAAAATGCTTGGATTTATCGCGTAAGGACTGTAAGTTGAGTAATGTATATGCGCCTTGAATTGTGAATATAAAAACAATGAGGTCGCGCGCATAGAGAAGCAAACAAAAAAAAAACACCGAGTCATGCATGTCCATTTCGCTTTTGCGTACAATAGAGGATCTTCCCGGTCATCCCTCGAAATGAGATGCCACGTCAGCATCTTCTGCTGCCCCGTGCTGTAAGTAGTGGCAGCTGCGGTATAGGAGCGCAGCCGGGCGGAAGCTTGAGTTGTGGCGGAAGCACACTTCAATATTTTCTTCAGATACAAATACGCACATAATAGGACTAAATCGCACCTATCGACGTCGGATCAATAATATCAAACATAAGCCACGGAGGACGAGAGCTATAGTACACGTCAGCACAATCTCCTTCTAGCGGTGACGCTGGACCCGAGCAGGCGCAGCCGGTGGGCCGTGCACAGCCTGCGAGAGGATGACATGGCATGCCACGCGGGACGCGGTCGGCCTGCGAGGCTCGATTATGCGTTCACCTCAGATCTGACTGCACTTTAACAATTGTCACGAAGGTTTTGGAGGCGGAGGCACGGGATCAGGCTTTGTAAGGCCAGGATGTGATGGCGGGCAGACGAGCGAACAGATCTGCGAACGCGAGCAGCTGATGCTCAGCAAGGCCCGAAGTGGCCGATGCAGCGGCAGGCGAGGGAAGGGGCTCGTCGTGTGATCTGAATCTCTAGCGCTGGGCTTTTTATCCTTTCCTTTCACTCGCAGGTAAAGCGAAGGAGCAGCAGCAAGAGCACGTAGCTCGCGTTCTGTGATCGAGGCTGCGGAGCTGGTGGTCTCATCGATCTGCGCAGTGTTTCTAAGGCTGACTCTTTGTCGGCATTTGTGGAGGAGCAGCTCTGTTGGCTGGCTGGACCCGCGACAGGCGACAGGCGAGAGAGAGAGAGAGAGAGCGAGCGCCTTTGCTTCGCCATACCCCCGACCTCTCTCTGGAGGAGTCGAGGCTTGCGGCTGCATTGGTGAGCCGACCACTTTGTCTGCCGTCGAGGAAATGGAATAATTGGAGCTCGGGGGTCGATTCGAGATCGCTCGTTCGAAGGTTTGAGACAGCTGCATTGGGAGGAGGTGTGCACCGGAGAGCACAATGGCCAATTTTGATGACCTGGAGCTCATTCTCGACTCGAATGTGGAGAGAGCTAGTGGAGGCGGAGTTGCGGAACATTTTGAATTTGAGAAACCCTTGCAGTCGAATGGATGCTCTTCGCATTTGCGAGAGCGAGTGAACACTGCCGAAACTGGTAGTGGCGACGGTGAAGAAGAAATCGTCGTTGCTTCCAGAGATGATTTGGACAGCTCAAAGCCCTTCATGGTACCAGGCGCTGCTTCTCTGACTATGGCTATGGGGTCTCTTCTGTCTTTGTCTCACGTCTCTCCTCCTGTTCACAGGTTGGGGTTTGCACCATCCAAGAAAGTTTTAAAGACAGATACGTCTGCCAAAAAGACCATAAATTCTTCTCCTGTGGTAGGTGCCTCTCAGATGGATGTGTCTATGGGCTCTTCTATCACGAAAACAGTGAAGAAATCTGTGGGCTCAATTTCTCCATTTCCTGACTACCAAAGGTTGCATGGCAGTCAGTTCGGAGAACCTAGGAACCCAGCAGGTTTGAGGAAAGCCACAATCGTATGGTTCAGGAATGATCTTCGAGTTCACGACAACGAAGCTCTTGTGCAAGCTAGTAATGACAGTATGTCAATCGTGCCTGTATACTGCTTTGATCCTCGAGATTACGGGAAGTCCTCTTCTGGGTTTGACAAGACTGGTCCTTACAGAGCTAAGTTTCTGCTAGAATGTGTATCCAATTTGAGGGACAATCTGAGGGAGAGGGGCTCTGAATTGATTGTCAGAATTGGTAGGCCAGAAGAAGTTCTCGTGTCCTTGGCCAAAACCGTAGGTGCCGATGCATTATACGCGCACCTGGAAGTAGCCCACGAAGAGATGAACGCTGAGGAGAAAGTTTCAGCTGCCTTGAAAGAGGAGGGAGTGGAGTCCAAGTATTTCTGGGGAAGTACTTTGTTCCATGTGGACGACCTTCCTTTCAAGTTGGAGGATATGCCCTCCAATTACGGTGGATTTCGCGACAATGTGCAGGGTGTCGAAGTTCGTGCAACGATTGAGGCTCCTAAGCATCTGAAGGGCCTTCCGGTTGGGGGCAGTGTGAAGGCAGGCGAGATTCCCTCTCTACAAGAACTGGGGTTAAATCCCAGCGCTATTAATCGGCCGGTGCGTACGGTTCTTTACGGAATTCCGACCCTGAGATACTTCCGTTTCAAATTCAATAGTTGCAATAAGTTTGTATGGATGCTGATGATTGTACTTGAAGACGGTTGTCAATGTATATGTTCATGTTCGCCTTCTCGCATTGCAATCCGTTCTTCTGAAGCTCGATAGTTTTCTGAAAGAGGACCAATGTATTGCTAGCAACCAGCAACCAGCGCATAGTACAGCTTATCCTCCAGCTGATAACCTCTGTTTTATGGTGCTGAAAAATTCTGTATGGGTTCAGCATTGACCTTTTTTCCTTTTACTAATGCCTCGAATTCTATTTTAACATGTTAGAGTAGCTGCTACCGCGAGTACTGAAGTCTTGGTGAACCTCTTCTGTAGTGGAGGAGTAGTTGGAGGACAGCCGTAAAGCTGTGCTAGAACTGTTTTTCATTAAATTTAGATCGCTACTGAGCAATCTAAAATCATCTGCCAAGCCACAGTGAGTGTTAGTTATACCTGGATATTTTTGGTGTTTCATCCAGTTATCTCGATGCACATAAGTTGCCTGACATGTGCCAAGATTTCACGATTTTACTTACTTACCGGTACTCTCAACCCTCCTAGTTGTTTGGATTGTGCGTGTATTGTTTGGAGTTGGAAGGCATTTGGCTGTGATTACTTCGCTTCTATAATGATTAATAGAATGTGATCCCTTGTAAACCTCCCCCTCACCACTCGAGTGATACCTGAAAGGTTCTCTAATCACATTCATAATAGCAATGTATCACGGGGCTCACCAACCCGTTTCCCGGAGTTCGGGAGTGAAGCAGAACGCTCTAGTTTTGGGACCTGTCACAGCCAAAGACATTCCAAGTGTCAAGAATTGTAGTCAATGAGCGCTTGCATGTTCACATCTATTTATTTCTCCGGTGGGAGTTGATCTGGATATTGTACTGATCAAGCAGGAAACTCCCGTTTCTGGTGCGCGTCCCGGTTTTAGTGGGAATGAACCGAGTGATGGGGAGTTGGCTCTGAACCTTGCCCTTAGCCTCGCCAAAGATTTTCCTCAAGAAGAAGACGAAGATGTTGGCCCTAACTAGCAATGCAATCTTGCATGCTTATTTCCAGCTTTGATCTGTAGAGTGCTCCTTTCGTTGACATCCTTGTCAGTTGATAATTCTCCAGGTCATGCAGAGACATTGTACAAATTAAGCAAGAAACAGTGTTGAGATAACGTGCTTTGCGTCGAAGCTCTGTACGTGTGTATGCTAATGCTTCACATGTTAATCGACTCAGGAAAAGCATACGGCTTATGGAGGAGCTTTATTGATAGGAGGTGAAAATGAAGCTCTACAGAGACTCAGGAGCTTTGTAGTGGAGGCTTCTAGTCTGTCTGAAACGAAGAGTCGTACAGCTGATAAGGCAGGAGAAAGTTTGTATGGCGCGAATTTTTCATGCAAGATCTCGCCTTGGCTAGCCATGGGCTGTCTCTCACCACGCCGCATGTTTGAGGACCTCCACCAAAGCAATAAGAAGTAAGATCTCAAAGTTGAGACACCATTTATTCTTGATCGTTTCAATGACTTTCTATTTTTGGTTTTCTAGCGTAGTTTATTCAATATATATATATTATGATTAATTCATACTATCACTTTGCTAGGAAGTAATACTTGGGTTAGCATGGTTGCCCTTGTACTGGAAGCATTCCGTTTTACGATATAGGTTTTACTGGTGGACAAGTTGGAAAATAAAATAATACATATTGATATCAGTTCTAGCCTCGCTAATACAATTCCCACTTTTGAATATCCAGGGTTGCTCCCGCCTCAGCAGCGAAGTGTGGAGTTACGGATGATAATGGACTGAATTGGCTTGTCTTTGAGTTGCTGTGGAGAGATTTTTTCAGGTTCGTTGCACTTCATTCACCAACATCTCATTCTCTTGCTTTACTGCGGGCTGTACTCTGCTTGATCTTGACTTTCACCGTTGATCTTTGGAGCTGATACGCTGAAGTTTTTGGACCATAGACCTTGTCGTTTAGGTCTCGTAGCCTTCTGGCACACTGTGGTGTAGTTTACAGCCAATTGTGTCTGCATGTATATTCCAGTCCAAGCGAAAGTAGGGTAATGACATTTCTGAGCATGCAGATTTATAACCAAGAAGTTCGGTGCCGGCAAGAAAAGCTCCACTCCAGCAACAGCGTGTACTGGCGCTCTCTCACCGGCTTGACATTTTGATCATGTCAATCTTAGCGTCTCTTGATCTGTTGAGTAGCCAATCCGGGACTTTCGTACAATTGGGAGAGCTGATACTCATGTAAGAAAGTAATGTGTTATCTTCAGAACACATCAAGACCAGCAGGTGGATGATGAAAAGATTTAGATTGCAGAAGGACTTAGTCCCCATTTTGACTGTGCCCTGTTTTTCAACTGACCAAATTGTTAATAAACAAACATAGTATATCACAAGTAGCAGCCAATGTTCCCAACACCATCACTCTTGTCCTGAGATACCCGCACGATTTACTTTATATGCGAATGTGCGTCCCGGAACTACTTGCCTGTGCAAGTTGGCTTAACGTGAATGAGATGTGTATGGATTCATTTGTTATAATCGTTTGTGTACGGATCTTGAAATTGTTCTATTGCGAGCCTAGCACAGTCGAAGAGGGGACTAGAGCATAAGGGAGGAGTAGACGGAAAACCGTTCATCCCTAATAAGGGACCTAAGTTTTTCAAAAGATTTGAGCTGTTTCCGAGGCTGATCTCATCAACAACTAGGATATGTCGTTTGTTACTCTGTTATGTTTCCTCTCAGAACTAGTCCTTTCGGTCGAGTGCTACACAATCAAATGGTTCATAACATGTCTTCCAAACGTCGATAAGGACACAACATTCCCGATCACCATCAATGCATGGGATTGTTGTGTACATCCCTGAATGCATGTGTGTTGAAATCAGTTTTCCTGAAGTAGCTGTGTACGAACACGGGACTCGATCCCACACATGGAATTTTAGATCTATCTAGCTTATCCTACAGTTCGTAATGTGCGAATTGCTACGGGGAACTTGATTATAGTTTTAAGCTGTTGGATGTTGGATGATTTCTTTTTGACTCCAATGTGCAGAAGCCTAGTGATATAAGTTTCCGCAATAATTTTCTCGATATGGCTTCCTGAATGAAAGTTTTCTCTCACAATACCTGCAAAAGACGAGTTAGATTACTAAATTCTTAGTGTGAATCCAAAGAGTTCGATGTAAAACATATTGTCGCAATCGGTATAAATCTGACTAACCACGTTCACAAAACCTCGGATAAATTCATGCCCTGTAAAGACCATTCAATGTGGAGTAGGATTCGCCTGAGAAATATAACAACTTTCTCTTGACTTAATGTTTTCACTTGTAAACTACATCTTTAGAAGCACGAAAATTTATGGCAAGAAGAGAATGTGTTCTTTATTGATATTGTGATACTATGCCGTTATACTTCAGGATGAGATTGTTATTACGATAACAGTGGAAGCATTTAACAATTCAAAATAAAGGGGAAAATGTTAGAATCTTAAGCCCTTATATCCAAATTTTATTTTAAGATTTTATTTTACAAAGGATATTTTACAAATTTGGACTAAGATTCATAGTATTCTAATTTTCAAATTTAAACAAGATAAATTAGATATAGAAGCACATTCATGTATCCAAAATTTGCGTGAAGCTTTAGATCATATGAAAATACAAGGTTTGACCTCATTTTTAGGTGCAAGAGTTTGTGAAAATATTCAATACTGATCTAAGAAGCAATTGTGGATCTGATCTAACAGCATTTAAAATTGGATTTAAAAATTGGACATATACCTATCACCAAATATAGGCTATTTATTTTATTTTATCTGATTGGGAAAATTTATAATGTTTTGAAAATATTAATGTATGTGGCTCTTATGTTGGATAGTAAACAAAACTAATTCAGTAGGTAAATAAATTTTATCTACGAAATGAATAAAAGTGTTGATTATTTTATTTTCTTATGAAGGATATTATAAAATTTTAGATGTTAATGTATAAAAAAATCTAAATATACTGGAATGTAAAAAAATTGAAAACATGTTGTATGATAGCAATTCAATTTAAAACAGATTGGATGAAATAAGTTTAAAATATACAGGAGATATAAGTGTTTTTACTTTAAATAATTAGTTAATCGAAATGCATCGTATTTGTTTGATAAACTAAAAACATTTATGATTTTATTTCTTATCTTATGAGTTTATATCCACTTCTTGATACTTCTTCGCTCCATGATTGTATTGATAATTTTCACATGTTCAAAATCATGGTGCTAAAATGTGGATTAACAGATAGCTGTATTTACTGTTTTTATTAAATTTGAAATAAAAATTATGTTCTTATAATAATCTATATGAATACAAATCGATACACAAATCATTGATCTTCTGTAATGAAAATATTTGAAAAGCATTATCATAAGGAGGTAGTAACTTTTCATGTAATTTTTTATGCTATCACGACTGTGTATTGATTTATGTTCATTGTAGATGCATGAAATTGACTGCAAAATCTGTAATTTGATTTCATAAAATGAATTAGTTAAGTATCTTTGATTGTATATTTTTTTTGAAAAGATTGTATTTTAAACTGTCGATATCCATATTTGAAAAATTGCTATAAACAATCTTTTGAAGTGTAAGAAATAATCATATCTATAATTTCAGCAATCATCTCCTTATAATGATATTTGCGTTTTGATCTAATATGACTGTTTGCAGGTATTGAGTAGGATTGCATGGGTTGTAGCTTTGAAAGATATTTTGTTTTTATTGGATAGTTTAACTTTGATATACTCTTTAATCATTTGAATAACTGTTATTTCATTGTCTGTATATGATTTAATTGTACATATTATTAGAATTTTTTTTTTTTTAATATTGAAGATCAAAATGATTATAATCAAGTTAGTGATACAAAATATTCAATGAGTTCTAGTTTTTTAAATATGATGTAGATGAAAATATTAGCTATCTCATTATATATTCGTAGTATCGATGTAAAAATGTTGTATATTAGTAGCTGTAATGATCAAAACATTATGTAAAAAATATACATATGATAATTTACAACATAAAGGTAAAAAATTTATATATTGAGGTAAACATGTCTCATATCAATGCATACCGCATTTGACAGAGTCTTGGGTTCAATTTGCATAAGATATCAACATTTTTATCAAATGAATTGATTTGAAGCTTTACACGTCATGATTGTGCGACAATTTTGTGAATAGAAATGTTTGCAAAATACAGCTTTATACAGCTTGACTTTCCGATTTTAACTCTGATCAAGTTAATATTAATAAAAGTTGTCCCTTGTAGAAGTTTTTCCGAAGAGGCTCAAAAAAATATTTTTATTCATATTTTCAATTTGATAGTTGAAATTAATAAATTATAAATTGAATCATAATTTGTGATCATTCTCTGAATTTTTTTAAGTAAAACCCAATGTTGTATTTTTTTCTAACCCAAAATCATCAAACCCTCCTTTTCAATTCATAAAAATAAAATTTAACATATTTCCCCTGAACATAATATTTGAATATTAATTTTGTTTATGGGAATCCTGAATTGCAGTCTTTTGTCATAATCAGAAAAGGCTTAATTGGACATAAATTCATCATAGAAATATTTCAACAGAAAAATGACTACATATCTGATCAGTGTTGATAAAGTGCATATTTTGAATTATTTTGACAATAACAAGACATACAAATAGACTCATATTCGCTTTTGTTTTCGAATGAAGACTACAAAAGTATATGGATACGTTCTAGTTCAACTGGGAACAAAATTAATGAATGTATGCTAAGTTGTATTATAAGATCAATCCATCTTTAGATGAATGTAAATAGTGATAGCTACCATAGAGGAGTATTCGAAAGCTTTGAAAATTGGAATTACCTCGCCAATTTTCATCAAGACTATGCACTAATGCGCTAATATAGTTCATGCATCTTTTCCTTTTGGATGAAAATATCGTGGTGCAAAGTATGTTTCTTAGATGAAAATATCAAAGTTGTTGACACATTTTTAAAAACCACGTAATGTGTTAAAACTGATGTTCTTATTAATATAAAAACAGATGATTCATAATGCTCTAAAATAAATTCAATTGAAGAAAGCTTACCCCACTGGCTTGAATGCTACAAAATAACAGTAATCATTTGAGGTTATCCGGGCCGGAAATGGCTGGTCCGCACACGAGAAGCCCTCCTGTTACTCGAGTGCCCTTCTTTGGGTCATTGTCCAATGGTGACCAAGCGCCAGTCCAGCCGTTTAAGCCCTTGGATTTTTGTTTCAAAGGCCAAAGTTCGTAAAGCTCTTTGCGTTGTTGCTATACAAGTTTATTCAACAATCTTTTTTTAATTTATTCATGTTTATTCACAATGAGAGTATTCAGAGAATAATTTTCATTGTTTCATGTATATAGTCAAATAATTTCATGTATGGATATGAATTTATATATATGAAAATTTCCGTTCATTCAAAGTAATAGTTGGAGAAATGTTACGAGTGTAGGAAATAAGACAACCGGAAGAAAGGAGTAAATCCAAACTAAAACTTGATCGAAGCTCGTTATAAACTTGAGAAGTAATTCAGAGAAGCAGACTACGCCCGACGTCCACTCTTTTACTTCTTTGTGCTTTTGGTTTCAGACGTTTCATTGCTTTGAACTAGATGGTGCGTAACGGTTCTTTCATTACAATATGAAAACTAGAAAATTGAAAGTCTAATTTAGGACGAGAGCACAGGTCAGACACACGCACCGTCTAATTTCCCGGTGCTTTTAAAAACCATGAAACTTACCTTTGGCCAGTCCGTCATTCCAGACGGCGAGATGCTCAAATGGATGGCATATTGCTCGCTTAAAGAAGAAGACCCGAGACTGGCCCACGGTTACTTTTAGAAGCGTCTCTGGCGCTGATGACGTTCTTTCGTCACATTTGAATACCAACTGTCCAGGTCAGAAACTGGGCGAGTGTCGCGTAGCGAGGCTAAATCGAGCAATTATGAAACGGATGACATCTTTGGGCAAAGGAGGATCTTTTCTTGCGGGGGTCTAGATAAAACAAGGAGTAGATTCAGAGACTTGAGCATGAGGTCAACAGTGCGGGAACCGCCGTCATTCTTTCTTGAGCGAGAGGCCAATCCCTTATTGGATTCAGTCCCGCGGCCACAGAGGCCACGTCGCCATTCACGATTGGATTAGGCAGCGCAGTGAGAGCAACGCTGCCCGTGTCACCGTTCGCGCTTGGGCGGCCTGGCCAAAGCGCCATTGTGGGAGACGACCTCAGCCTCTGATCGCATGCCGACGCCTGTGAACCGCTGGATGTGACCGAGGCCGCCTCGGCGGGTCGAGTTTCTCAAGCCTGTGCGGTGCAGCCAAAGGCGAGAGAGAGAGAGAGAGGAGAGAGAGGAGAGGGGAGGGGAGTGAAGGAGAGGGAAGAGAAGGGCAGGGGAAGGGGAAGAGAGGGGCGGGTCGATCGATTTATAACTTGAATTGTACGCTATCAAGCTGAAAGTGAGTAATGTTTGTGGGCGCGTCGGTTTCGGCGAGGAAGGAGGATCGAGCGGACGGTCGGGAGACCGGGTAGTGAACTGTTTTTGGTTTCGGGGCGCGTGTGTTGAGTTGGGGTTTGCAAATGCAATTGTGTGGCCGAATGGCTTTGGGCGCGAGGAGGGTGATTGTGGATGCTGGGCAAGTGAGTTTAGGTCTGTAAGTCGGACCTTTGCGGAGGAATTGTCTCGGATTCGCTATTATCAGAATTTTGGGCGCCCAGAACAAGAAGATGAGATCCCGCTGAGCATTCTCTCGCTGGGGTGAATTTGGGTGTTGAATTTGCCAATTCACGTGATCGGATGGCGTGGCGTGCTTCTTACAGGAGTCTTTTAGACATCTTTCCGCAGGTTAGTACCTTCCAAGGAGGATGCCACTCTCAATTATGATAGATTTCAACATTTTGCGTTTGTGAATATTTCCAATCTATGACGACGTCCAGCTTGTGGTGGCCCTTTTGATCGTTAACAAAGGTTCCGATTTGTCTGCTCTTGGAAGGAAGACATTGCTTTTTTTGCTTATCGGCTTGTGCGTGGTTGCTTCCAAGTGAATCTTCTTGTTTCGAGTGCAATCTGCAGAGCAGCGACGTGGTAGAGATGGACTGAATAAACTCAGCTAGGTTCTAGTTCGTTAGGCTTTATTGTGCCCGTGATCTTGTCATTTACTTTGGCCTAGGCCTTGAATCCAAGCTCAAACTTCGTAATTCATATCGTTTGGAGTTCAAAGTACTTGTAGAAATCTAGTGAAGATATAACTCTTTTTTCTTCAAGGACATAGCTGGACCTCCTTACCGTTAAACCGAGAATTTCGAACGGAGCTAGTTTCTGCCTAGTTTCTGCCTTGTTTCGAAATTCTGTATGTGGAACCTGTCTGTATCAGAGTTTTTGTGCAAACTCTAATGTGCATCCACTCTTGCAGGTGGATTCTCGTATGCTCAAGGCGGCCGCTCTTGATCACGGGGACGATTTGCTGTCAGCTGCAGACTTTATTTTAGATGAAGTTTTGGGTACAGATGTTGAGGGTTTGGATCAAGAACAGGACAATGTTTTAGCCACGGATGGATTGCAATCTGCCATCGTTTCAAGAGGACCGAATGCTGGAGAACAGTCATATCCACGGAACATTGATGTTCCTGGTCATGACGGATTTGTCTCTGGTGCTGTCCGGGATCCACTTTTGAACAATGAAGAAGTGGGAAGCACACGTGTTAACTCTAGGAGTTTCACAAACGATGGGCCTCACAGTGGGCAAGGAAAGATTGAAGGCATTACGCCCTCTATGATGCCTTCATGTGCAGAGAATAAGAGACTGGAATGTGAGTGTGCTCACCTCCTTACAACTGTTTTGGGATAATAATGTTAGTGATGAAATATTGGCTTTTTTTATGAAACCGAGCATCGTTTTGTAAACTTCGCTGAGTAGCCTGCACAATCGCTCTATTTACTGACTTCGCCTGTATGTCCTGGTGATGCAGTCGAGGCTGAAGCTGTTCCTCCTGTGATGACTTGTGCTTCTAATTATTCTCACTGCGCTCATATCGACTCTAGTCCCCTCGATAGTGACAAGGTTGAAGCATTTCCTCAACTTTGCCCCAAAATTGATCCTGAAGAGAAACATAATGATAGAACGGATGTGGATGCGTCCTCATCAGAAGTCGTCCCATTTCGCGCCTCAACAGACAAGCTTGCAGTTGAATGTTCAGAGGATGAAATCTCACAGTTTCACTGCACACATGTAGACTCTCGTCCACTTGATAGCGACAACGAAGCACTTTGTCAATTTTGCCCTAAAAGTGATTCTGAAGAGGAAGAAACATACAGAACTAGTTTGTCCGACAGGGCCCGGGACTGTCAGACAAAAAAGGTCCTCGTTGTTCGTTCCTATATCGAAAATCGTCCATCAGAGGATGGAATATCTCACGGCTTGAAGGATGAGCATGCAGTTAAGTGGTCAGTGGAGTGTGACGTATATTCTGATACAAATGGTGATCAATTTCTCGTTGTTACTACTCTTACCGGGTCTGATTCAGGGGCAGCTAATGCCCAGGGTTTTCTTGAGGAAAAACACAAGGAAGAGAATTCAGATAAGGTGATTCTTGAGAGTTTATGTGAAGGATCTACTTACACAGACCCCGAAGAAACGTACAGAACTAGTTTGTCCGACAGGGCCCGGGACGGTCAGACAAAAAAGCTCGTTATTCATTCGTTTCTCAATCGTCGTCCATCAGAGGATAGTTTATCTCACGCCTTGAAGGATGAGCTTGCAGTTAAGTGGTCAATGGAGTCACGTGACGTAGTTTCTGAAACAAATGGTGAACTTTGCGTTGTTACTACTTTTACCATGTCTGGTTCAGGGGCAGCTAATGCCCAGGGTTTTCTTGAGGAAAAACATAAGGAAGAGAATTCAGATAAGGTGATTCTTGAGAGTTTATGTGAAGGATCTACTTACACAGACCCCGAGAATATGAGCTTACAAGATTCATGTTTAGAAGATCAGGAGGGGTTTGAAGGAGAGATAATTAGAAACTCTGTATACGACTCCATTCTCATTTCTGGATCAACTTTTGAGGATGAGACTATAGTAGAAGGAGAGGTCACAGATCTGGTGATGGCTTCCACGAAGATTATGTCCGAGGGGGAAGATGACAAGGAGGGAGGGTGCTGGGAGACCTTGTCCAACAGCTCAGCTCAGATCGCTAGCATGGAGACTATGCTTGATGCTGTCGACCAAGCGAAGGCTGATAAGGTATATAACACTATGTATTGTTACATATAGTTCTACGTTTTCCCGGAGTATGAGACTGAACTAATTTGAAAGGCTGTCACTTTAAGTATTTTCGGTTATGCTTATAATTTGGGGACAAAGGCTTCTTATACATGAGATTGAATTTAGTCGGGAATGAAGTCTAACTTTGTAAAGTTTTGTTCTTTCGCAGGAGATCCTTATAAAGTCAATTGAAGATCTTCGTGCTCTCCGACAAGAGACGGATCAAGCTGAAAATGAAGCACGGTGGGCTAAAGAAGAGGCTGCTAAAGGTGGCTTAGATGTTATGTCAAGGGTGGATAAGATGAGGGAGATGCTTTCCCAGGCAAGGGAAGCAAATGAAGTGGTATGTTCCTTTCACTTGCCCCATTCTTCTTTCATATACGAGGATGATATAGTTCTTTCTTGCTGACTGCCTTCACCTCTTTCCCACAGCATGCGGCAGAAGTTCATGGAGAAAAAGCAGTGTTGGCAACAGAAGCTCGAGAGCTACGATCGCGTGTTGTACAGCTGAAGCGGGAGAAGGAAAAAGCATTGGCTGTGTTGAATGAGGTACAGTTTAGTCTAGACAGAACTCACCATCTTAGTGTCTCTTTTGAGTTGCCAGTTAGGTTACACTGATCCCTCTGGGGATTTCAAATCCAGTTTTGCTCATTTTGTTGGTTGTGTGTGATCTCTTGAACTCTTGAAATGCATAGATCAAGGCATCCCTTCAAGCGCGGATCAGTAAAGCCTGCCAAGAGCGTGAAGCAGCAGTAGCAGAGAAGGTTCTAAAGGAAGCCCTTGCTCGGGAATGTCTCAAGAAGGAAGAAGAGTTCATGGCGCAAGTCGCTCAGCAGTCCAGAGATCTTCATGCTGAAACTGAAACATGTAACAAGGTAAGAAAACGTTGTGGTGTCAATCCGTTAACTAGGTAGATTTCGTAAGATTTGTTTACAAATCTTACGAGAATGAATGTACCGAAAACTTTCCCATTCATTATCGCTCATTGTCAATGCTATTGTTCTCCATCAGAGTACTCATCTTATGCCTTGTTTTACATCCAATCTTTGACGGCATTGTCTATTGCAGCTCCGAGAACTTCTAATCGAGAGTGGCAATATCGTGGATGCTCTGCAGTAAGTACTCGACTCATCTTGAGTGGGATTTCTGAACCTGGAAGTTTACACAAACTCAAAAATAGCTTCATATTTTGCATCTGTACTTCCTGATGAGAGCTCTCGGATCTTGTCTTGAGCTTCGTTGACTAGTCCCTGCTTGCATTGTTTCTTGCGTTCCTTGTATTCTGTGTACTGTAATCCAAATTTTATGTTTTCGGTAGCGATAAGTAGCTAGTGGCCCTTTGTTTTTGTTCTAACTTTCCAACCCTCTTGCCTTATAAATCTTATTAATTGTTTCTATATAGTGTTAACATGTGGCTTTCCTCCTTGCTTACAAAGGGTCTATCTGTGATCAGCTGAAACAGTATGGTTTCAGAAGTACTTAGGTCAGATGGCCATGCTTCTTTTTCAGATTGACGTCGCTTGTTACTAAATCGAGCCTGTGTGTGAACAGGGGAGAAGTGGCTGTGTTATGTGAAGATGCTGAGGAATTAAAAGAAGAAATTGAACGGATGAGTTTATCGTGTAGCTCTGGCTTTGTGCACATGTTGAAGCCGCGACCTCTGAGTGAGAGCACTAACAGCTTGCTTTCAAAGTCTAGCAAGACACTGGGTGATCGACAAGCTCACTCCATCGAAAGTGCCGGTCAGCTTATTTTTCAGGCCGACTTTGCAGGTAGCTCTCCAACCACATCGTTAGTCGGTGGCCCGAGGAATGCCAGCGACAAGCGTCTTCCATCTTTGCGTCGAGCATTAAGCGGCAGCTACAACGGTAGTCAAGATTTGAGTGGGAGCTCTCTCTCTTCTTTCAGTAGTAACGGAGGTGCAAGTAATTCAGGAGGCAGTTTCGGAATTGTTTCGGGATCGGCTAAGATTTCGGCTTTACCATTTGGTAGGAGTAAAATTCCTGATAACAAGTCTTCTTCTTCAAGATCACAGAGTGACAGTGATACCGAGCTTAAGAAGCTATATGATGCTCAATTTCCGATGGTTCGCGATCCTAATTCGGACCTGCAAAACTACGGAACCACGAACCCCAGCAGTTTTCGAACTGAGACTTCAAGAACTGCAGAAACGAAGGGAAGAGTCAGTTCCGACGATGATGATTGGCATCTACTCGAAATGACGGGAAGATCGAAGGAAACTAGTTCTAGATCATCGAGTAGCTCATATGCCGAGAACTAAAATCGGAAATTGGATAGAAATATGATTGGGATACAAGCTTCTCGCTCGCCGGAACCGATATTCCTTATACATTTTACCCATGTAGCCCGCTATATGGGTAAAAAGTACTCAAGCAGGTACGTTTGTAGACCTTTGTGAGGTTTCCGACATAACTTCACACGACGAATTTTGATTAGCTCTATTACACTACATCGGTATTGAAGGCTTTGATGTCTGCTTTCCGAATGTTTTCTAACCTGTGAATATATTGTATACAATTTGAATCAACTAGGTTAATATATCCCGTTTGTATATTGTAGACTTTGATTTTTTGATTATCAGGCCTAGTTTCACGTTTCAATACATGAATCTCCTCAGCACCTATGATTCATTATACAAAGACTCATGATTCACTTTAGGGGCTGAGGCTTACTTCCGTAGGCAGGTTTAGTACAGTCGAGGGTAAACTTTCCAATCCGGAGATATGTAACGTAGGAGATTCTGAGATGTGCAAGCGCACGAGGATCAGGACTATGTACATATTACTCTCCTTAATTTATAACCATATTTTTCACTAATTTCGTGGAAGTCGATATATAATGCTTGCAGTGACAAAAATAAGCAGAGAATTTTATTTGACGTGTTCCTAGTAATGATTTGTTTTCTCGTGGTGTAAAAGTACAACAATAATCTGATTGTATCAGTAGTGTGGATTGTCTCGCACGTTTCTCAACCTGGATGAAGTATGTACAAGCCGAAGAAAAGGTTTTGTTTCCTAGGGAAGACGATTGTTTGTCCTTGTTCCTATGGGGAATGAGAAATCTACGAGGCGCAGGAGAGAGTGAGTCAGTGAGGTGGCGCAATTTGAGTACGATGGTTTGCAAGGTAAGTGTGTTCTTAATGAGAACTGCTTGATAGTACTCGAGTATGAGATGCTTCATCTAAGAAGTTCAAATTTCAAATGAAAACTTTCCACAATTTGTGAGAAATTGCTCTGTTTGTTCGAGAACCACAGGACCTTGCTCAGGGATACAGGCTTAACACATTGTCGACACTCAATGGAATGTTTGGGTGGAATGTTTTTACAGCTGGTAGTTATTCCAGCACCACGTGAATCATTCACAACGGTATTGCAATTGGCACTGCGTCATTCATAGGAGAAATCTCACATGTATCTCTTTTATCACCCTCCGCCACCTCTTTGCGACATTTACACCGCAATGCTAGTTTCCCCATTGATAATGCTTTTCTAGGTTTCATGTTAGCGAATTATGGAGATCAAAGTAGAATCAATAAGGCTGTTTCGTGAATATTGCATGCACTCATCGTGATGTAGGGTGCCATACCGAGCTTATGATGCTTCTAGAAGGGTCTCGACATGTAGACTAGCAATCTGGTATTAGTTTGTCACCTCGTTCTGGTATCCCACTCAATGATGAACGATCCATCTAACAAAGCATTTTAGGTGTCTGGAAGGAAAATATATGTTACTTGTTACTTCGTATATATGAATGAGGAGTAGGTGACAAAGTTTGCGAAAAGCGATGACATTGTAGAGTTGAAGTCTCGGGCCGGTATTTGCTTGTATGTGATGGCTTAAAATGTGAGAAACAAAGCACATTAGTTCGTGTTATTTGCTAATTTGCAGAAAGAGAACAGCTCTTGTTTGCTCTGATAGATCGACAGATCTTAGACTGTCAACTCTCAATACGAACCACATGCGTTGAAACGTAATTAAACGAATTACACTGGTTACAACAAGATCAGATTCAGGTAGATTCATGAACTTCGGCGGTGAACTTCCCAGTTTCTATTTATGTTGCAGACTGAATGTGCATACTTGATGAAATTGGTGTATATTCAGTGTTCGTCTGTTGAGAAGGGATTAATAGGAAAGTAATGCATATTCTAACAAGGCTGTACACATGCCAAGTCTCTGTATGTTTCTCCTTTGATGAGATGCAAAGCAGCTCTGTCAGCCCGCCGGTATTCGTACGAAACGTAACATAAGGTTTTTTAATAGTCATTTTTGGATTTAATTCGGCATCACATGATAATTACAATTTCAAATTAGTAAAAATAATATAGAGTGGAATTTTCATGTACATTATAAAGTAGACTAAAAAAAAGTACGGTTAAATAAACATAATTTCATCATTGGAATGAATATCGGCAAGAAATAGAACAATGTAGCTTGAATGTATAGTTTGGTAATTAAAAGCCTTGAAATAGGATGATAAGCAATCAACTCAAGACACCAGTATTTGCTTTTAGCCTTCGAAAGTTATTCGAAATTGAGGATATTCCTTTCGCTCTGTAATAGTCATCAAGAAATAGTCAGAAGTAAAATCTGCACATCTTCATTGTGCACATCAGTTTACTAATTTATTTATATGTCACATCCATCTTACACATAAGTAGATATCTTTACAACTTTATCTTTGAATATACATTAAACGTCTTAGTAACATGATTTCTCTGATTAAATATGTAAATAGTCATATTTCGTTCATACATTATTCATATGTATAATATTTAAGGTTGGAATTTCCATCAAAGATCATTTACAGAAAAGAAAATCGTTATGTCTAGATCATTTTTGTAAATGGATATAATTTAGATCAAATTCATGACCCTTTATCTCTTGTAAATAAGAAAAAAATCACAAAGCTACTCTAAAAGTCCTAATAACATAATTATAAAAGGATCGTAACATTTGAAGTGGATGATCAAAACTCTTAAATAAATCAGGAGTAAAGGAGGCATGCCATTTTTAATCGTTATAACAAGCTAAATGGAAAATCGACAATTATTTTATTATGAAGCTTGTAAATAGTGCAACTTACAACTACAAAATCAGAGCAAAATATGCGTTAAAATTATTCATTGAACTTTTTACAAATTTTATTGAAACTTTTGTATTGATATTATAGAAAATAGGTAGAAAAAAATAAGCAGAAATAAATGTGCATTTCAATTTGATATGAAAGACTTCAATTTATAATATTATTCTAATTGTTACTAAATCTTAAAATTCTTATTTATGAATTTTTTTAATTTTCTGTAATAATGATGATAACATTAGAGAAAAATAACATTTCAAACTATGAACATGTGAGATATCTAGACAAATTCTATCATTCATAATATACAGAATATAGAACTAGACGTCATCAACTATTCAAATCCTTGATGATCAATTGACATAATCAATATGAAAAACAAACACACGGATTCACTACTTATTTAAAATGTAATGAAAATATTAAAATATCTTCTTATATTCTAACAGTCACATGAATCTAAATATTTAGCTCAAATTTATATTTTCCTTACATTTAAATTGTTGACAAATCAACTGTAAAGTACGAGACAATTCAAGTTCACATTATCTATCTTCACCTTAAGTAAAAAAATGAAGAAGTTTTGAAACCAAATTTTGCTAATTACTACTAAAGTAGATTTTACTTAAGGTGAAGATAGATAATGTGAACTTCTTCATTTTCATAATGGTTTCAAAACTTCTTCCTTTTTTAACTTCCTTCTTGCAAATACATTCAAATTTTTTTTGAAGTATCTTTTCAACCCTAAATTTCTCATGATGTGTTATCAAAATTGGTAAAAGAAAATTGTTTTAATGGTTTGTGATTATAACGATTGTGTTATATGTCTTTGCAATTTTGAGACATGAAAATACATCTCATCTTTTGTGTGTGATGAACTTTTTAACTTGTAAGACATTACAGAAATCTGTTTTATCATCACAAAATCATTGCTATATAGATGATTAAACTTTGATGTTTTCAAAAGAGTAAAACTGGATTTATATAATCCATGTAATACCTTATTAAAAAAATCAATACCTTACTATGAAATTTTTATGTTGATAATATTGATTTTGAGCAATCATCAACTCTTTTTTTGCTTGATGCAGTATTTTGTGAATGTGTTTTTTTTAATTTATCAGATTATTCACACACAAAAATTCAACAAATTTTTTTGAAAATCAATCACAAACTTTTTGTCAAATTTGATGAAGTCAAATGGAAAAAAAGGTAACATGCATAAATACAAATATTAGAGTCGATTTCACTGAAAGTGGAAAATGTTTTGTTTTTATCAATTCTATAGGAAAATTGCACATAGTATCATCTCTAATTTTTTTGGCTTTCTCTATTTACCTGTCATATTTAAAATGATAAAGCCTTAACATTGAAAGCTTTGATTTCAATGAACGGCGTTAGAAGTTAATTGAAGTCTTGTTAGGTAACTCATATTAGGTAAGTTACGATTAAGACTTGGGTAAATCCTTAACCCTTAAACGCTATAACACAGTCGCTGTGCAAGAGAACTATCAAAAAATCCCGGCGACATTTTTTATAGTTTTTCAGTAAAGCTGAGATGTTCCACGAACATAATCCACATAAATAAATCACTTATGTATGGTGTGCATGTGAATTTAAATTTGTATTTGAGATTTTGGATTCTTTAGGCTTTTTACATACGGCAGCATATTGGAGCAAAGTGAGATCAACAAAGTAGGCTGTTATCATTAGTGATATAAGGAGCAACGACAGCAGTCTTCCTGCCCATTGCTAGAAGCAATGGGCATTCAGGTACTTAAGATTGTTTACTTACTTATTGTTTACTTAGATTGTTTACTTAAGATTCAGGTACTTAAGATTAAGGTACTTAAGATTTTCAAATTTTTTATATATTTCTTATAAAACTTTGCCAGAGCTCTCTAAAAATATTTTCATGCATTCGGTGGCCTTCTTCAAGCGATTATGAAATGCCCAATTGTAGACATGAAGCGGATGTAGTGATCTTGAGAATTATTATACTTCCAAGAATCTCAAGATTGCCCCAACTACAGAAGGCGCGAGCACTCGACCAACCAGCCAGCATAACCATCGAAACCATTGCACCAACACTGTCGTTTGAATCTTTGGAATCTTTCAAATTGCAATTCACCTCCTTCGGGATGATGAGCTTAATTCATCTGATGCAAATATCATCTATATTCATTTGGTGCAGTGTTTTATTGAGTCTTGAGCGCTAGTTGAGGAGGAGAACAAGTCATAGAGACTACAACAAGTTTTGTGAGGGATAACAAAGGGAATGAAAGTTAGACAGGCTATAACGGACATAAGTTGAGGCAAAACATAAAACTGAGAACGTCAACGGATTGTCGAGGAAGTATATGACCGATCACATCTTGATCATCATCATCATCCCACGCTACATCCAAGACTGGTATTGAACTCTCGTAATTTTGATGGTGCATCCAAGACTGCAGATTGCAGCCCTGTGCACGTTTCTCAAAAGCTTGAAGATAGCTTCTGACTCTCAGCACCATCAAAATAACGACAAAATAGTGAGAATTCAATACCAGGTCCTGCTCAAAAATGAGGTGGCAGCTCAAAGCGCTGCCATCTCATCTCAAAGAAGAAGAAGAAACTACGTATTTTGTAGCTAGATAGGACTTTTCTAAGTGACAGGTATAAACAAGGATGTGACAGGTTAATATTCCATATCTTGATTGTCATTTTTTAAAGCATGATATGATATAACCAAATACATTTAATGCATTACAAGTCAAAGGCAAGCTTAACACTACATGTCTAGGCAAGACCTTAACGTGTAACCATCTATCTACAACGATAACAACTAGAAATAACTCCAAGAGTATACTGTAAGTACTGTCATACTATATTTGCAACTTTTGAATTTCAAGAAAATGAATGAATATCATACACTATAATATGTCGGTTGATGTTTTTGAGTAACGGTTTCATTGCTAAACGTTGTCAAACAATTTAGATGCATGTTGAAACTAATAAAATATAAGATGAAAGATATAATCCAAAAAATCTTTCATCATCCAAAAAATCCAAAATCACATTGATGACTTTAGTGATTTTATAATTGTTCATCATAGTCTTAGAGTGGATATAAATGATGAGAGTTAAGATTCTCTTTTTTAACTCAATACATGCATTTTATAAATCATTGCTTCATGATACTCACCCAATCACTTACAACAAAGTTGTTAATGCTTTGTTGATTGATGACTTAGCAAATGATAATATGATCTTGTCCATACTCTTCATCGGGTGCGGCATTAAAGTAACTTGAGACTGGTTATATTTACAAAATGACAAGAATAAAAAAGCGTTTTAGATCTAGAAATAGATCCAAGTCTATAGTTAAATCCTTAGAAAAGGAGAAAATATTTTTTTAAGTGAAAAGATTTTACCTGAATTATGACTTTCATGTATTTATATTAGTCTTTTTCAACTTGAGTCATGGAGTTGATTGGACTCATAGTAATTCAGGTTTTGATGTCAACTTCTCATTTATGGAAGGAGTCTCCTTGCCCAGTTTTACTGATAGTGAATGTCATTTCCTGCGACCAACTACTCGAAATAAAAAAATACTGTATACATGTTCAAATGAGTGAACAAGATGTAACATAAGACCAAGTTCAATCATGAGATGATATAGTTTTTATTTTATCAGTTAAGTTACATCGAGTTTGATATCTTTACAATACTCTTTTTCTAAGTTTTCAATGTGTTATGATTGTTTAGAGTGTGCACATTCGTTTGGTTTCACCTTTTCAAAAACTTTCCGCTATGAAGGTTCCCAAAGGTTTGTTGTTCAATGAGGCAAAATAATTTAAACATACTAGTATAATGTGCTAGTCTTGAGCTTTCTTCACATTTTGTTTAGTCTATTAATTCCAAAGAACGTGGTTGGATGTAGGATTTCTCACACATCAATATCCTGAGATGATAATTCATATTATTTCGTTTCCTCGTCGCTAATGAACTACTACGATTCTGGAATCATCAGCAGTTTGTAAGATTCAGTAATCGACTAGATATCAAAGGTGTTTGTCGTAAATTTTGTGAGAAAAAAAATGATGCATATTTTATTCAAGATAAACGAATTCGAGGTATACAGAAGATATACGTTTACTTCCGTTTCTCTATGTAATCTAGTTAGGTCCATGAATAGAATTATTAGACATCTCCTACCAACATAAGACGTTTGTAAGTACATTTGGATTCATTTTCTTCATGTGTACAAATGTGTACATATTGGTATTCATTTTCTTCCTGACAAAACGTTCCTTCGTTCGACTTACAACCTGACATTAGCTAGACATCAGACCCTGCAGTTATATGCAAATTCAGTATCACTGTTTACTATCTTCATACAGCGATCTATTCCTTATGTGGAGATCACATGGAGGAAATTACTTGATGGGACACAGGGGAAGTATGCACCTCTTTGCGACTCTTTGGTAACTGTAGATACAAATATAGCAACAAAGCGACTTTCTTCAGTGAAATTAAAGACTTGGTTCAACTCAAGCTCAGAGACAAAGTCCCCTGAAGGTAAGGAGCAGTCCATCTGATGCGGCGTACAAATACATAATGTGGAGTGAAGGGCGACTTGCATTCAGCGTAGACAGTAAAACCAAGCAAACCATAACAATTAAGCTCAGCGTTTGGACAACTTAGACAGGCTTTGCTTGTGAAGACCAGTCGACTCGTAGATTCGTGCAACGCGTTTGCACGAAAGTTGGACCAAAACAGAAACCATGAACACATCACCATGATTGTGTAGACAACCATCTGGCGTGTGTTCCGAAGGTTGATCCTGAGTTCCGATCTGATGTCAGAAGTGAAGGAACAGGAACATGCAATCGTCATGTTATGTTCTGTTACTGAACAGAGAAATACCGAGAGAACTACATGCATGATGAGTCAAGACAACGGTTGTATATATTAACGTATACAACAATGGCAGAGGAACAATCTCAAGAGTTCGAAGTGCATGAAAGAAACCATGGAGGAACAACCAGAAAGGCTACTGGACTATAATCAAACAAATTGAAGATGTATACGAAATACCACACAAGCAACTGCAGAGATTTAAATCATTAGGCACCATTCAAATAAACATTACAACTTCACGCCATCTTGGCAGACTAACCCTCCACACTAAAGTTACCTTCGTAAGACATGCATCTGCAACATCTTTCCATAAAGCAACATCCCTCTGCGAAAAACCGCCATTTGTGAACCATTTAATGGGCAGCAAAGAATTTCTAAGAGAGAGGTAATGGAGAAGGAAATCGGTTCAATGCTTTACAAACACTTCAATCTTGACTCCCGTATCCCACCAGGCAATCAAGAAGTGCATATGTAAGACTACAAGCATGGCGGCGATATTAGAGACCCCTGAAGATCTCCGTCTTATATATTGTTTACTCAGTTTAGCACAGCATCCACACAGAAGAATGGAAACATGACAAAGACAAACAATCATTATACAAGACCCGCGCTTGTATAATATACAAAATGGACGTATCGCAATAAAATCTGTTATATTTAAGAGTCATCAGTCAGGTTCTAGTAGTCACACTCTCACATTGTAACACCAGAGAGTCTGAAATGCACTTCTCAAACTTGGGAAAGGTTTTTTGTGTGACTACACTCAAACCTAACCTGTGTAACTTTTCCCATTTCGAACAAACTGGCGCGGTGCTTGACCGGCACGACTCATGGGAGGAATTCAAGGGGGTGACATTGAGCAGTAACAAGCCAGATTCATCTGTAAGGAGGAACCTACCTGAATTAAACATCAGCAATAGATTTTTAACGATGCCGCAAATATACTAGTGGAAAAAGTGTGATGCTATGCTGCGTTCCAAGAAAACTCTATTCCGAATCAAACAACGACAATATGTATTAAGAAAAGAATAAATAACAACTGCCAGGCATATGTCATCATCCGTAGAAGACAGATGGCAAGACGATCTACGGTAATTAAAATCACGTCACTAGTACATATCCCGACGCTCGGAGACAGGCGTCTTGGAAACATCCACAGGAAACCAAGACTACCTCACAGGGAACTGGATGTATAGTTTTTTGTCGAGCTTTCGGTCTAACGTCAAAGAGACCACCACCAGCCATGGTCATATTTCTTACTCATTTGAGAAACAATGACAAAATAAGGTCATCTGGAAACCAAAAACCAATAAGAGAGCGAAACCTTGGAAATATTCATGCATGAACATAAAGCTACAAGAAGCTGAAAACTCCATCCAAATTCGAGCTCGTCATTGGGACCTTCCTCAAACGAACTGTCACTCATTTGGATGTCCAGGTTTTGACAAGTAGCTACGAGATTTCTCTCAAAGCCGGCTGGAAAAAATTACATCATTTCAGGAAATTGGCTTCATTGTGCGCAGTGACCTGTCAAACCCTAGGCATGTGGTCTACTGGACTTGACACGAGGAAGTCCAATAGGAGCTGACAGCTCTGGGTGATACCCTCGTAAGACAAGCACGTCCTTTAATGTCTACATCCTTGTTAATGTCAGCCAAGAAATTCAATAATTACCAATCACAATCTGACCAAACAGTGAACAAGTCAACCTCCCTATAATATCCATCAGGCCGACCTGAATTAATCCATTAACACTGCTTGTGAGGCTTCCCAGAGCTGCCGGGCAGAAGAGGATTCTGAAGTGTAAAGAAGTAGAGTGTAGCCTATTTGTCCTGCCCTCCCAAAAACCATAAGCCCTGAGACTCAGATGTGCTGGTGTTCCCTCTTCCAGTCCACTGTCAACTTGCAACTAGTGAAGTCGCGAGCGCATAAAGAACCTCATTTCTTACGTAGACTTCTCATTGATGAGTCTAAAATCACAGTGAGCTTATTAACAAGTCAGGAGACCACTCTGAGCAGACATCCGCGCGTGAGGAGATAGAAAGTCACTAAAACTTACAATGATCTAGGCCATTATTTTTGCTGATTTCAGGTACAAACTATCCACCACCTTGCTGATGTTAGTAATGGTGTCTAAGGTTGCTGGATATATTCCATCTGGCTTCGCATCGTCAAATATGATAAGACATCCAGCGCCTTGATCCAAAGTTCCAGCAAATTTCTTGTCAAGAATCATTTGAGAAAGCTTTTTCTCCACTGCATCCACTGGCAGGCCGATGAGTTCTGAGATATGTGAAATTTCGACCCGAGAAAACGGCTCAATCAGGCGACATAAATTCTGCTCAAGGAGTGTGTCATAAAGAGCTGAAAGATGGCGGTGTACAATAGGGTCCTCCTCCAATTGCTCCCTGTAGGTATTAAGGGCCTCCTCAAAGTCCTTCAACGATCGCTTCCCATAGGCTTCTGCCACGGCCTTCATTGCATCTAGCTCCACACCTGTATACTTCAGCCCAGCTTTTGAAGAGATAAGGCCTCCCACATCTTCAGCAGAATTGGTCATGATCTTGCACAAAAGCATGTACTTCAAGCTAAATACTGCTCGAGGGTCATCCAGAGCATTGAAGGCTTCGAACGCCTCGAAGAAGTAACTGAATGCCGTCTTGTAATCCTTCTCTTCAGCATGAAGTATTCCACTTTGGAGGTCAATTGTTCCTTGCTGAGCCGGTGGAACGTAGATGGCATTAGCGGCAGTTCTCGCTGCAGTAAGAGCAGCTTTCGCCTTGGGCAAATTCCTCAGTGAAAAGTGAAGCTTACTCTCCAACAGGTCGATATCCACAAGCAATAGCTTGTCGTCCAGCCTTCGCACCTCCCTGACCAAATTAGTCAGCAATGACAAAGCTTCCTGATATTCCTTGCTCTCCATGAGCAAAGACGCCAACCTCGCCTCCACCCTCTGTCTCAAAAAGGTCCTCTTTTCAGCCCTGGTCCACTCGACCATCTCTTTACAGAGAGAGATTTGAAGATCGGATGTACCGGGAATTTTGGCGACGGCATCAATGATGCCTCGAACAATTTTCGCAGTTTTAGCTTTTGGAATGAAAGAAAAGAAGGGTCGAAGATCGGTCAATAATCCTCGAAGCTCTTCTCCTCGCTTCTGTTGGGACAACAAATCCGAAAGGGCTGCTATACATTGCTCCTTGACACGCAAAGCTTCGGCTGTTGAAATCGGATCATGAAGAATTCCACGGAGAATAGCGATAGCTTCCTCGGGTTTCGCCTCCTGAATTTCGATGGCATGAGCTAGAACTTCACTAGTGGCATTGTACGACGTTGACGGAGCGGACGGAGGCGCGGGTGCCGCTCGCGGCAACGATCGCTTCTTCGATTGAGGGGAGGCAGGGGCAGGAAAAGGAGTCGGCTGTTGAGGATTTTCCAGCGACATCTCTACAGACTGCGACCAAACAGCACGCGCGATTGTCAAAACCCTACGACCACTCACTCGCCTCGCCTCGTCCCAGCTTTACAATCAAAACCCCACCACCACCACAACACCCACGGCACACCCAGCGTCTAGCTTCAAACCTAAACCTGCACCGCTCCCAGCCCAGACCTTTCGTCTCCCTTCCCTTCCCTTCCCTTCCCAAGCCTGACCCACCTGAGTGCGATATGGGACGTTCCTGCTCGCTCGCTCGTCGTCTTACGCGCTGCTGCTGCTGCTGCTGCTGCTGCACATTCCTCGCGGTCACCTCGATGTCACCACTCCTCCCCTGTCCTCCCTTCCACAACAAATGATTGAGGACTGCAATTTTCTCTTCCTATCCTACGCTTCCTTCCTTCTTTCCTTCCTTCCTTCCTTCCTTCCCTCCTCCTTTCGCTGCTCGCTCGTTGCTCCGACCGAAACCTAAACTTGCGCTCGCAGTGTCTTTTGTACGAGACCTGGATCGATCAATCGATCGATTTCCCTCCCTCCCTTTCCTTGAGCGCCACTTTTCCTTCCTTCCTTCGCTCGCTCGCTTGCTTGCTTCGACTTGGTGCCCAGCGACTATGACTGCAGCACCTGGCACGACCTTTTTCTGAGCACTAGGGTTTATGCATGTCGGGCCCGATCATGTGCACGAAGAGTGGTCAGACAAGGGGAGAGAAATTCTATCAGTGTGTTTAATGCTGCTAGTTATGCATGTCCCAGCTCCATCTCGATTTTCGAATCGAAATTCGAGGTCACTCATTGGCAAGATGATGTACCGAATTTCTTCTTTTCCATCACTCTTTATATTTTCTGTTCAAGCTACTGGTACTTGATTCAAAATGTCGTCTTTCAGATTAACATATATATTTATGGTTTTAAGATAAACAGAAGCGTCTTCAAGAGTACTCAACTGCAAAGAACTCTGCTACCTGTAGGCTTTGCAGTCTGCGCCATACTTTATAGGAGATTGCAGGTTTGGGGAATGAAATAAGAATGAAAGTTCCAATAGTATTAAAAACTTGATTAAGGGATCTTCATTATTAAACATGCAAGACGTACTTCTCTTTTGTGAGTCACTCAGCACTATGTGGAGTTACTAAACTATGTTGTCTAGTTTAACCCATGATAACCCATAAAGTAGCACTCCCAACTCTCCTATCTATCCTAAAGCTTCTCAAGGTGGTGGTAAAACGTCCAGATATCAAAGTTTTCCATAACCTTGTCATCTTGATTTCTTCCAACCGAAACAACTCCTTGGATGAAACTACGAGTCCAAAGATTGAAGAGTCTCTTGTGCTCGAACTGAGGCCTAAAGAAGAAAGTTTCGATTCTGTGACAAAAAACCAACTCTTATTTCTGAAAGCCCGGAGATATATTTTCTTGGAAACCGGATTGCCTTCCTCTGCTGCCATGTCATTATCTTTGATGTTGATGCTCTATATGGATCTCTTGACAATTCTCTTGAATTATTGCTCAACTCAAAATAAGTACTCACATCCACCCTTGTACTACTATTTTTCAAGCTCATCTGCCACCATCCATATCAACACTTAATTTCCCTCCACCTTGGTGATCGCAATCTGCACCTCCACGTTGACACCTTCCATCCTTCTCCATTTCCTCGAGGTAAACCTCATTATCGAACACCTGAACAGTAACTATCAAGAGTACCTGAGAATCGCCATGATAGCGTTCCTTCATGGATTGACCTTCAACCTCAATTCAAGCAAGCTGTGCGAGGAGACACATGATGAACATGGAACATTCCTCATTGTGAATAAATCTGGTGCTCCTTGTGCCCACCTCCGGTTAATAATCGACAACCGGAATTCTGAAATGGAATCGGTTTTCAAGTGCCAAAAGGTGTTTCCAACATTGCGTCTTGTTAAGGTTTTCATAGGGACCCTCACCACTAATGTGCACTACTTCTCCACTTTTCTATGTGCCCTCGAAGATTATATCACTTAACTCTAGTAAACATAGGGATAACTTTGACCAATTACAGAGGTCTGTTCAGTACGGTAAGGGATAATTAGCCCAAACTGAGTGATATTCACACTCTTACAAATGTATACAACACTACTCTACACAGCCTTCTTAGGATCTTCAGTACAAACAATGAGTAATGAACTCTTTGTACATGACATGAGGATTTAGGTAAAGTACTTCGTGTGATGACTAAAAAAGTGAACTATTAGTGGGTTAAATTGTGCATAGAAGTTAATAAATGTATTTTGATGTTGGATATGACTCGTACATCTGAATTTTGTAAAAAGTAGTACGATAGTGTTAAGTAACAGTGAATTGATTGTAATCCTTTGCTTTGGCATGTGCTGTTGTATCCATGAGTACTACTACTGTAGACTGAGATTACCGTAGACTGGTCATTGAGATTTCCTGTAACATAATACATGCATAGAAGTGAACTTAATACATACTGTGACAAGTATAAATAGACAACTATTGCAAACATCTTTCTCACATCAAAATCGAAAACTGCAAGGTGCTACGAACACAATACTCGACTCGAGTTGAAACTAAGCAAAAACATGCTCATCCATTCTAATTGGACAATAATACGAAGGCAACGATAACAAGAGCAAGCCATAAATCTACCAGAAAGTGAACTCAATGCACCACTCTAGTAAAATTCAAGGCTGATTTCAACCCAGCCGAGAGTAAAATTTCATCGAAAGGCCTGTGACACAAAAGGTCACTTGACTGGATGGATTACATGACATCTCTCCACAAAATTAGAAGAGCCACACGGCATATAGAGAGACGACACTGGGCAAAAATGATGATTTGTCCGCTATGAAGCGAGGCATTGTGTCTGATACAGGACTAAAAAAAGTTCTACAAAGTGGGTCCTCGCGCATTTCATAGAGGAACCACCGACAACCCTATTATAGGGTTCATGATGATTGTAAGAGTAAAAAAATTGTAGATGGTACAGCGAAACCGGACAAGAGTACTACATTTCTGCTTCTTGGCCTTCTCCGCATCCATTAGTCCGGTCCTTCTTGAATGCAGGGTTTATGACTCAAGGCACCTAAAGCTACTACTGATATGTCACGCCCTATCTACACAACCATATTCCCCTATGAAACTAAATATCAGTTACCATGACCGCCTCAATCCGGAATACGCTGTTTGAATAACGAGTTGATCAACTGTATCTGTAAATATTTCTGAGTCTATTCTATCCATCACCAACCAAACCTGCGTAAAACATAAAAGTCCAGGGATCAATATCCGACCCAAGCATTAACCACCTGAGATAACAAATATGTCAAGAAACTAGGGTACCACGTTTTGGTTTCATAACTACGATGATATGTATATCCATGATTTGCTTGAGTTCAGGCAAAGCAAGAGTATGAAAAGAAATAACCATTCGATCGCATGGGACCCCATGTCATCACGTGGCTGTAAACGTTGTCAAAAGTCAAAGTAAAGCGCACCTCAGTTGCATAGTGTCTGGTAATAGCCCGTAGGTATCCTAGTGTGCATTTGCGCCATGTCAGCTGTTCCTGGACCTCTAACTCTTCTGCAGTTGACACTCCATTCGTCTTTACAGAGTACCTATCCAAATAAATTTTAGTCATTAGTACATCCCTGTCGAGGCCTCAGGACGAATTTTGAATAGCAATATATCACATATGAGCTATCAAGGTAAATCTTTTGCACAGCGAAGTTCAGCAGTAGAGCGTTGACGTAACCAAGTAACAAATTAAGAAACGACGTACTTCTGATTTCTGCGTTCACCATCTATCTCCACGTTGTCTCCATCTTCTGCTCCAACTGTAGTTTCCTGATCGACAGCCATAGGGTCTTCCACGTGTTCCGCTTCAGTGTCAGTCTTAACCACCTCAACAGATGGTAACGGCACTGATAGACGTTGTGTTAAAACCGTCGCAAAATTTTGATATACGGCCATAAAGAGAGCCTGCAAGAACAAGATGCCTTTTTAATGTCCAAAGTTATGTAAGAACGCCCAAAGAGACAACTTAAACCGACAAACGGTCACAACAAATGAGGTACAAGTATCATGGAATCAAACATACGTACGAGGGAGGTTCTATCATACTGGATCTGGTAAGTCAGCTAAAACATTAGACTGCAAAGGTAACCGGTGGAATTCACGCATACAAAAATTAAAAGACAACCACTAATGCTGAAAGTGAAGGTGTACAAAGAGGGTGCTCTAGGCAACATGCGTAAATTACTCAAATAAGATAGGACAGTTAAGCCTGAGGAAAACAAGCGTTCATCCTCTGCGTTAAAGTCAATCTCTAAGAGAATACGACGCCAATCAGAAAGAAATCTAGACCGAAACTGAGAGGACACAAAAAGACCAAGAAAAAAGTGATTCAAAACTCATCGGTCTGAGAAGATGCTGTCTATTCAACCCGAGACAGATATCCAAGGAAAAAAACATGAAGTGAAGAAGAACATCTGAAATAAATTCAAAACAATAACGAAGGTGATAACGACGCTTCGTCAGCTAATTGCACGATATAATATCACAATAAAAGGTTCATCACGCAGTATAGCTAAAAAGGCAGAGTTTGCTGTTGCCATAAATAGCTTCATGAAAGAAGTAATAATTGCATAAAAAATATCATCGCAGACTAAATTGTGTAGAAACTCCAGTCAACGAACCTTTGCATAAGGCTGTTTTCTGGTTCACTATTGCTCTTGGATGAAACAAGACATAATAGAAAACGAATTACAGAAACACTACAAGCAACTGAATACAGTAGTTATTTAGAAGATTTCAAACGTGAAACACTTACCTCTTGTTCATGCAAGGCTCGAAGGAGAAGGGCTTCCTTGACTTCAAGTGATTCTTGAGAAGAACTCTCCTCATCTTTCGCTTTCTTTTGTGCGGAAGTAGCCCATTCCAACTTGGATTTCGCTCCGGCCCGTGTCTCGTCATCGGTTGCTGTCTCCAACAAAGCAACAGCAGCCTCGACTTTTGCAACAGCCTTTGCTAGAGCGGCAGTAGCGGCATCTACAGACTTCTCAACGGATGCCACATCCTTACGTAGATCGGCAGTGCGATTGTTTGTCTTATTGATTGCGTTCTCCAGTACCTTAAAAAAGAGATCAGCGCTTCCACGACTGAGATGAAGAACTTGCAAATTGGACTACTCTTCGAATTCAACAAAAGGGAGTTGTCTGAGTTAAAAGAATCCAGACATATCTCAAAAGCAGGTAGGGCGGCACTGCAGATATGATCAAGTAACTTCAAGCTCGTAACCGTTATAAGAGCAAAATTTTGTAAGTTACGTCAGTCGTAAGATACAAACGATTTCCATTGTTACTTCTTGAAAGTGTAAAAGTGGTCGTCGTGGAACGCACCTCCCAAACATGATGCGAAGTGTGAAAGCGATTCACGTTGTCAGCTGAAAACACCCATGCTACTATGGCCAAATTGGACACAATACGATATCCCATCATACGATCAATGACGATAGACGTCATTTGAGCTGAATTCTTCCAGAACTGGGCGACTGACTCTATTATCACGGTCTGCCAAGAGTGATTGTTGGCAGCCAACTTGCTTAGCACGGTTCCATACTTCTCCAGTATACCCACTGTGTGTGTAAAACTTTTAGATCCAATATAAAGAAAAGTTTGGACTGCAACTTCAATAGCCATCTTTTGGCCGTAATCCGGAAGAATCTTCTCTTCAATATACACTTGTATATCCCGTGCCCTCCTCTTGCCTCTTGTCATCATTATGAGTTCAGTAGCAATTCTGTGTTCTTCTGCTGACACTGCTTGAGGATCATCGTACTTGTAGATTGGTGCGGTAAGCTTCGGAGGGAGAAGCTCAACGAGGTTGGGACTGCTATGCAAACTCTGCAGTAGGATATAATCAACACCTCGATCGTCAGTATATAAAACTCATAAAAGACACTGATCGAACCTGCTTAGAACAATTTCATGCTCAGTTACGGTATCTAAAGAAAGCACAACTTTGTAGGAGCTATCCAACATAGGATTGCAGTATTTAAGCTATTAAAGTTTACGCATACAATACAAAGCATGCCAGTCCGTATGGAGGATGAACCCAATTTACATATACCTACCTAACTGCAAGTGAGATATGTACTTAAAAAACAATAGAAATAAACTTTTGCATGAAGCTCTTGGAGCCCACCTCCTTGATTCTCTCCCAGTACGCCAGACGCACTTCTTTTTCAAGAACCTCTTGAGCGAATACCCGCTGAGGTGACCATTTCGGTTGTTCTAACACATGGGCCCACTCTTCCCAAGGCCAAACAAATTGAAAATTGGACCTGTAAAAGTGCAGCAACCGAGCACGTTGTGAGTTAAAAAGTCCACAGAGCCAACTCAAAAGAAAGTATATCCATCAGTTCAAACATACTTTGCATCAATGACAAGATTTTGTTATTCGCAACCCTGGACACACGTGACTACGACACAAACTGCGTAAGATGCTACAACTACTCTTATCATTACAAACTGGAAACTGAGAGAGCGAATAATGCTATACAATGAAGTGAGCAACAAGGGGCATGAGCTTGCCAGGTATAAGCATGAGAACATACAGATGATGAGAAAGCCACTGTACAAGGCGGGTACGGCACTCGACGTCCATGTCTCCCACCTTCTCAAAAAGTGAGCGAACGGCTCCAGCTACAACAGCCGGAAACGCCCCAGGAAGCGCCTAGGAATCCAGCCATTAACACTTTCAGTCCTTTCCCTTTCACATCCCAATAATAAACATACCATACCTTTACTCAGTTAGTGAGTACAATTTCTCTTAAAACGCACAGAAAATCCTGTCAGATCTTTGCTGTATTTGCGATTTAAAACTGAAAACATACGTCACTCAACCATGGTCTTAAACAGGTTTGCTGGTTTTGGTCGTGGTATAAAACTCCGAGTGTACACATTTAGACCAAGATTTAATCATACTAGTTGTTCTTGAGCAAGCAGAATCTTAACAACAAAACAAAACAGCATAGAAGACTGCGAATGTGTCTTCAATTTTACCATAGTTCCTATGAACAGCCTATTAGCAGTTGACATCAACAACTAGTGCTTGACTTCTTACCGTCAGGACTGTGGAAGCGAATCAAGACCATCTTCCACGACAATCTCGACGAGGATCACTATGTATGAGCAAATCACTAAACCATTGCAACTGGTGGCTACAAAGAAAGTATAAAAAGGTAAAACGAAGAAGCAATCACCTTACACAGGTCAACCATCACGACGGTGTAGTAGATAAGTTTGAACGGGGGGGCTGGAAGAAGAAGCAGCTGCAAGTAATCCGAACAATGTAATATTAGAGAAAGTTCTTCAACCCTGAAACACTATAAATCAACACGGGAAACTATAACATGCACGGGACACTAACACTATAATACAACAGATCACACAAAACGGGAAGAAAGGGAACAGACCTGAGAAAACACTGTCTCCGCCATTAAATATTCGTATCGAAATGGTACCGGAAGTCCAACCATGTAAGCAGCACACTCCTTGCGACTGCATGTCCTCAAATAGCGATAATATTTAATCTCTGATAAAATTGAGTTCATGATAACCTCCGCAGAGGAGTAGATTATATACAGAAATACGTATTGAGTATACATTGCTAAAAGTGGCACATGGCCAATGTAATAACACACAGTCAATGAATGAGTTGACATACCAGCCGCTGAGGAAAAAAAGAACATCCAGTAAATACTCCTCCACAACAAACCGGTCAATAGGAGCCATGGTCTGACCAACAACAAAAGAAGTACATTAGATTCAGGTGACGAACACCAGCAAATATGCCGGAAGCAAGCTATCATTATACAAGCTTCTGGAAAAACACGCTGCAGCAAAGAAAACACCGTTGAAAGACACTTGGACTATTTTTTGGCACATGACCTATATCCTAAAACATCGTCCGAGATCATCTACGGGATACATCTCATCTAGGGGAGCAGCGGGATAATAGGGGAAATAAGAAAAACCTCGTCTGTCTTTGCAGCTGGAAATATACGAAGTCGACCGACCCTGCGAGGATACAACAATTCCGCTTCCTCCCTTTTCTTGCCCATGATAACGTCTGTTGGATTTGTTGGCAACTTTGGTGCGTCCGGGCAAGTCACCTGACCAAACTCATGAGATGGACCAGTAACCAGCCGGGATTCGAAGGCCAGATGTGGCCTTGGGACTAAGTATAGAAAGAAAGTCAGAATCTGGAATTGACAAATATGCATATGTTTCTGTTGCAAAATTGGTTCCCACACTGAAATCCAAGATAACGCTACGATTTCAGCCAACGTGTCCAAGCAACGACTGTCAAGCTAGAGAATAAGGTGGAATGCTTCTATCACATATTCAAGTCAGATTGGTCTTGATTAAAGGCTCCATACTACATGGATGCCAAACTAGCAATCACTTTAAAATTTGAAATCTTACCACTCTCAACTCTCCATGAATTTTCCATCAAGGTCTGAATTCTTGACCACAGATCTTCCAGGAAGTCCTGCAGAGATAAAAAATACAAGTAATATCGTCTATCTGTAAGGTCACTGTTTTCACTTCCCGAAGGCACATCAACCAGCAGTTTCATACAGTTACAAAAGAATGCCTTTCTGTTCATATGTAAGGAAATCAAAACCTACTTGTGTCTGGTGAGGAAACACTGAAGTTTAGCTCAGACTATTTAGCTGATAAAGAGGTGCCATATGCGTGTGACCTCCCTCGTAGATGTAGACGATGGAAGCCCAGATACCTCTCGATTCTTACATCAACCTCAGGTTTACAAGGAAACTCATCAGACAAGAAGGAAAAGAAAAACCGAGAGCAACACTGTGTTACATACCTCCTGTTCAGTGGCCTGTTCCACACCCTCATCTTGAATGTTGAACACGGACAGTGCAGATCCTGCATTCCGCTTTCGAAGGGTTAAATATGCCTCCACACCGGCAAGAACACGCTCCAAATCTTCAGGTGCTCGCTGCATTTTAGTACAACCATTCCCAACGATTATTTAGTTCTTTTAAAGTGGTTATGCAAGGTAAGATTGACTTTCAGCTCACAAAATAACTCATCAACCTACAAGACGTAAGATTTATTCAGTTCTTTTTGGCTCAAAATTTCCAACTAGAATTGGAACTCACAATCTACAAAATGATATTTTTTCACCAATTTTCTACAAACTTTCATCTTACCAACACTCAACAACTGCCCAGGTTTCAAGATGCAATGATCAACAACGACTGTTCAGACTAGGTTTACTTTCTTCAAGACCCCAAATCTAACATGAAATCGAGGTAGCCCCGAGACAAACTTTTGGTGGAAAGTTGTGGAGAAAGGGTCCATACCTCTGCCAATTCAAGTCCACCCCAAGGGAGTGAAGCTAAAATGCAGAAAACATAGAAATCGGCACGAGGTTGCCATGATGGATTGCCCCCGTCCTCATCAATGGTGGTAGCAGCCGATGATACCAAGGTTTCAAAAACTTCTATCAATGAGCCCGGAGCAATTACATTACTGCTCATCTGAAATAATTTCATTTCAAAAGAAGTGAGCCCAAAACAAACAGTGAGAGCTCACTTCTTCTCTTGGAAGAAAATACAAGATAAAGCGCAGCGATGTGAACAGGCAACAGCTCACGGTGCTAAGATCACCCAACCAAAGTGAACAAGTAAGGCAATATTAACGTAGATGGCTGTTGGAACCAAACATCACATATTTCTTCATGACCAGGAGAAAATGAAGGGTTGTGAATGATAATCTGAATTTCAGAAGAAATATCAATAGCATTTCTCACCAAGGTTGTTAAGAAGCGCATCAAAATTCTGATCTGGTTACAGTTTCCTGAATCCAAAGCAGCCTGCATAGCAGACAAATGAAGTCGACATTCAATCACAGCATTTAGACTGGACTCAAAAGTAGATGCTTGGGGATTGATTAGAACCTTAATCGATTAGAACACCTGTAATTGGCAACAACTAAAAATTTAATATAAGCACGCTTTCTGATTAACTATTGTCTAATATACATGTTTAGGGCATGTAGAGGTGAGTGCTGACGTGAGTGACATCTAGGCATCATCGTCTAGATAAAACTAGGAGATAAAATAACAAGATTTGGATCTTTTGCTCAATACTCTTGTGAGAAGAGACCCAAAATGGTCTAGTTCAAAGAGACAGACCAAGATGCTGACTTAGAATGCACATATTGTACATCATTTACATCAACGTACTTAGCAGAACAAAAGTGCAAGATAAATTCGTACTGGAAAAAAATGAGAACATAGTCATTAATACCCACCCTAAGCAAATAGTCAGCACTGTGGACACAACTTGTACAAGACGAATAATTCACGGAAACAAACAATTAGGATATGAATCTATCAAGAAACAAAACGGCAGCGAAACAACTCCCTAGACATCCACGATAGCTCAGATAGCACCATCACTCCATTTCTGTCAAAGTTCTAGCAATGAGTAAGGTATGGACAACATACCTGTAGAGTGTCATGGGCCTGAGTTACAACCTTTTCCACAAACTCGGTGTTTTCAAGATTTATGAGACCCACCTGTGTCAAATAACGCATTAAAATTTGTAAAACACTGTGACTTGATTTGGATCAGCTTTCTGTTTGGCAGTAACATTTGCAGCAGTTTGGGTTTACATACCAGGGTTCCATACAGCGGATCCTTGTGCGGAAGTTCTTCCACGCACTGCATGAGCAACTGGTAGACAACAGACATGGTGTAGTGATCAACGTCAGAATATTTATAGGATTAAATGTTACTTCCAAGCACACCATGTCATATTACGCCACCTTTGACAGCAGAAATCAAAGACTTGCGAAAACATAAGCAACGACTTACCGCCAGGATTTCATTTCCATGGTGATGCAAGTCACGTAGAAGAGAATTGAAACATGTCTCCTGAAAGAAACATATTTCTCTCGGAAGTCAGCGTTTTAGATATTTTCTGCCAAAATTTTGGGCCATCTTATGTGGATATTACAGTGTGAAAATTTCCATGATATCTTCAGATAATCAGTATTTTGCAACGGCGAAGAGATTCCTTTCTGTGCTCTGCCGTCTCGAATACAACAGTAGCAACTGCTACATCCTACAGACCCCACGCTTCTTCACGAGCAAGTAGGCAATTTATGTTCAAACTCCCAGCTAAGGCGAACTCAAAAATTTGGCTGACGACCCCGAAATGCAAGATTGTCATGAGGACCTGTTGCTTCGTTATAAAAGACCGAGGACAGCGGAGCTAAAAAAAAAGTGTACATCTCATCGATGAAACACCTGATACTTAGAAAGACATGAGAGACGCGAGAAGAAGAGAGGGTGATAACAACAAACACGTACAATGTGATCTTCAGCATCCGCATGACCTCCATATGCGGCACATCGTTCGCCAATTCTGACCAGAAGCGAGTGCCAACTGGTGCTCATCGCCCCGCAATATTCCCACAACCCGATCAAGACATGCGTGAGCAAAAGTGCACGGGTGCCCAATTTCTGCACACACTTCAAATTACTTCATAACTTCTCGCGTCTTCTTCCTTCGTCTCCCTCTGCTGTGATGCTGTACATTGTCGATGATTCTTCCAATTCCACTGTCCGGATCATTAGGGTTTTAGCACTCCCGCCACATTTAGCTACCCTCGACTGTCTTCGTGGTCCCGCTGTATTCCCCGGAAGAAAATGACGACTTAGGGGTTTGTTGTTGGCGGGTTCCCAAAGGTTTGAAATTCAAGTACAAGAGAACGTAAGGAGTCCCAGCCGATTTGAATGCATTTACTGTATCGACACACAACACAGGTTCGATATAAACGCCATCACCTTGTTGAAAAATAATTACTTCTAATGATCGCTTCTCGTGAAAATTGACTCTTTGCAGAATGCAAGTTCAAACAGACTCAATACAACTCGACTTGTCTTACGTTAACAAAATTTGAAATTTTTAATATTTTTTGTATTACAGTAATGATAGAAGTAGACGTGATCACTACATGCGCATGAGGTAATAGAACGATAACTTTGGGTCACAGTACTTGGCACTCAGTGTGCTGACTTTGGTGAAGTTCTTTGTTTGCAAATGTATGTGGAATACCGAGAAGTATAGAGATGAGGAAGACTTGATTAGTTAGTAATATTACTAAAGGTCTTGGTTTGATACCTTACGTGAATTACGTGGTTTGACACCTTACGTATGCGTAGATGTGCACCATTTTCTAACTTAGGTTGCAGAATCTGGATCTGATTCATGAAAGTTCATAAATCAGATCAAAAGAACTTCATGTTGTTGTGTGCTTTGCGGTATGAAAAAGAAGTGAGGCTTATAATGGTTTCAGAATTTTGAGTAGGTATATTATTCATGTGTGTGTTATGAAGAGTTAGAAAGTAACCAATGTATGGGAAAAAGATGAAAAATACCCCATCAACCAACCCAAAAAAACAAGACTACGAGAATACATCTTGATAGTATGACGATGATAAATACGTAGTACAACAAGTACAATATCCAAACAATCTAAAGCAAATAACACAAACACATGATGTTGCATCTCTTATATTAATACTTTGTGGTGATATTCAAGGAATAGAATCTCAAAGACTAAAATACTCTACGAAACAGATAGAGGTAGTGATATCAAGCCCCATTTAGAAATATTTCAAATTTTAAGTATATTAAGCTAGTCAACTTTGATTCTTTAAAATAATTCTAACACTCATTCTTTTAGTAATTTAAAAGCTCTCATGAACACAACAATATTATCATATGAAGTTATCGGTATATATTCATGAGACTTTATTCAAATCATTCAACCAATTAGCTCTGTGATTAATTACTTAGATCACGCATTTTTTACTTTAAGTTTATGTTTATGAATCAAAACTTTACTTATCAAGGTCTCTCATATTTACTTTGTTAGTATGTTGTGCGATTACTAGCGATTCCGGCTTCATGCAGGCGAGTTGCAGCCTGCAATCCGAACTGAGGCCGGGTTATAGCATTCAATGTGTGTATTCGATTGTCATTTTGTGTTTTTTTAGTATACATAATCTGGAAATAATAATCAATAAATACATCATTGATATATGATGAATCAAATCAATATGAGTTATGTGATTTTTTATTTTATCATATTATCTATATGCTACAAAATTGAAACTGATGTTTTAAAAAAAGTAAGCTCAATTTGACTAGATCAACTCTTCTGTAATCATTGTTTTATATTTTAATACAAGTTTTTATATGATGAATTTGGTATTGTAAACCTTGAAATTTTCATAAATTTCATGTATATTATCATTACACATTTCAAATTCATATTAATTGTATGTTTTTTACGAAATCATATGAAAAATTTTATACTGTATCATCTTTGCTTAAGTTGATTATGAGTTACATAAACTATCAATATTAAATATGAAAATTATTATCCAATTTCAATGTCATTAATTAATAAATAAATATGTGATACAGATATTTTATATGTGATACAAAAAACAAGAAGATGTTGATAAAGTAATTGTAGTGCTAAATCTTTAATGAGAGAAAAACTTAGCATTGATATCAAAAGAATCAATGTGTATTGAAGAAAGTATAGACTAAAGTGGATCATGTATCTGAATATGTATTCACATTATTGTTGCAAATTTGGATGATATATATGACCATAAAGTTTACAAATCAATATATAAATACAAAATATATTTGTATAAGATGATTTTTTCCGGTTGATATTTTAAAAATCTACACTACCCACAATTATATTGCTCATATAAAGATTTCACTTTTTTTTCATATCGTGAAGCAACATGTTTTAAACCCAGATATCTTGAAATCTTATAGACTAAAGCTTTAAGTTTGAATTGAAAAAATATAAATAATAAAAATAATACTTGTAAAGTATTGATCCAAGAAATTTTCATAACTTATCCGATGTTTACATTGATACTTACATACTCATGTGAAGGATGATACATGATCGTAAGAGCTAATTGTGCACTTAGGGCCTTTTGAACTGGAAATTACTGTTAGTAAATGTTGTTATGGCCAAAAGCCTTCATGAATAAACATGTGCTCATGGATACAAATTGATTTATGTTTCATCAGGTTTGAGTTTTTGAAGTTGAAACTTTACGAGTGCCGCTGTGGCGGAAAGTAGATAGAGACCTGGACTCTCGAGTTACAAAGTGAGTTTGTCTTCTTTGTGATCTGATCTTTTACGTTATGGTGATGAGCTTTGTGTTTAAATGGATATTCTAGAAGTAGAAAGTCTCTTGAGTAATCGTATCTTCTATTACATGGTGGTGAGAGTTATAATAAATCTGATTCCGAAAGTAGAAAAGACTAATGTGGTTGACTTGTATTGATGTAAAAAACTTTGTGTTCTGTGATGTTTGATGTGACAACATTATATGTTGCGATGAATATGTATGTGCTCTACTAAACTAACTAGTATAGTATACGTATTTATATGTTTCTGGAAAGTATGAAAGTGATTGCAAGTTAAACTTGGAATTTACAACTCATTCTACGTGCTCATAACAATTGGCAACAAGTCAGTCGGTGCTATTCACTTTCATAAAGGTATCTCATATCTTTATCCACTTGAGAAAGGCAGTAAAGGAAATATTAAATATACGTATCGTAGGAGCGTCCAAGGACCGCCTGCGGAAAATTATTGTCGCTCATTGTTCAGTTGTTCATCGCGATGTAGCAATCGCCTGGCGTGATTGCTCTCCATCAATGTAGTATTACTGTTTACCTTCTTGTGAAAAGCTTAGCCTAGAGATTTCAAAAATATATAACGTGTTTCTCATCAAAATACTACATGGGACGGATAAACTTTTCTATTTCCCTTACGTTGCTTGATGGAACTTCCCGTACCCATCGTTTTCGTTGTCCCATAGCACCTCCCCTTTGTATATGAATGGCGCGGCAAGCAACCATGCGCAACGGACTACCTTCTGAACGGTGCAATCGTGACGCTTGTGATCAGTAACACAATACTCGTAATTCAAATTTCACAAACCTCACCGTCTTCCTCCCGAAACAATCGTTCTTAGAGGGCGTTGCGGAGCTGTGAAGGGTGAGAATCAAAGAGCAGGAGAAGGTATGTCAGCTCCGCGTTTTGAAGGGTTTTGATTGGTCTTGAACCGGTTAGATGCACTGTTCCAATTCCAGCAAAGAGGAATCCAGCCATGCCCAACGAAATCAGTGCGTAATGCTATCATTCGTTTCATACGGCACACTTTTCCAAACAGACAGTGAATGATCCAGTGCCACCACAGCTATGTTCAAGAACAGTTTTCCATCAACTAGTAGAAAATTGAAGCCTGAGTTACAACTGTCTTTCATAGAGCAGAAAGTAGAATGAAATTAGGCCGTGCTCTCGTTCTCCTCATGTTCAGAGAATGTACGACGATCGTTACTTACAGAGAAATTACATTGCCTTCTGGATGAAAAAGAAGACCGACTATTCTTTACACGCACGCACAGCCTTGAAGCAAATTTCTCCTCTATGCACAAGACAGTGGACATATATACGACACAGAGATGGGCACTGGACCGAATCAACAATCACAAAACAAAAACTTCTGCTCACAGCACCTCAGCGTCTCATCTCCTCTTTCTACCTTTGCAGCTAAAGAGGAGAATTTTCAATTTACAACCAAGAACAGGATCTCGATCTCCATTTGCGGATACCGGCAGCTTCCAAATTCTGTACAGCCATCCAACACCAACTTGCTTGAGTTCTTTCCATCTTTTGGAAAGGGACAACTCTCACAGAACTGCATCTAACGTAAGGGGGCAAAGAACAATTGGCTGGTGACAAGCACCCAGCTCCCACCTCACAATTCAAAAACTTGTGGAGCCAAGAGAAACGGATTAAGGAAGACATCGGTCAAGTTGGGTGCGGTTTTTCACAACAGAATGGTGAATTCGTCAAAACCTTCGTGAGACAGGCCAGAGATACAATCACGGATGCACTACTATAGGAACCGGATGTAAGTGAGCAATGTTACTTGATCCCGGCCGACAGTACATTGAATATGTGGGAACCTTATCTGAAATGGACATGAGAGAGACTGATCGGGCAGTTTAGGGCTCCTGGAATCAAAGAGGTGAAATGAATAGTAGGAGCTTGTCTATGTATGAATGCACAGAGACAAAACAATCAACCACATGCGCTGTGCCATACCTAATTGTGGGAGGCTCAAGGGAATTCTCTTCAGACACGCACCATTCATAGTGCCAGTTTATTGTATGACTTCAAACTCGTCATCCCTCAAATGGGCGAAGAATTTGACTTGCTTTCCATCCACCTCTTTGAAGAACTGGACTTTGTAAGGGAACGTGGCGGAGACGGTTTTGCCCTTCCACTCAACTATGTGCTCTTTCACTTCGCCTTCTAGACCCTGCAGATTCAAATTCGGCAGCTTCCCAACATGGTATACAACTAGCGACTCTTTAACTCTAATTTTACTTCCGGGACCAATCTCCGTTTCCTTGCCTTCACTGGATTGCGCATCTCCAATCTTCGTAGCCACATGGCAAATCACCACTCGACCCGCTCTCCTCTCACTTTGAACTGTCGATCTTTGCAACAGCGACGAGCTACAAGGAACAGGCCCCTGAATTCTCCCGCTCCACGCTACGAAATTCCCTTGCGCCTGGCCCCTACTTCTAATCCCGCTTTTCTGCGGTTGCTGCTGCAGCAGAACACAGGACGCCGAAGTCGAACACAAACACCCTCCTGCCGCCATTGCCATGGCCATCTGCCGACTCTGCTGGTGCTCCTGCTCGTCGCCCTCTCCTCCTTCGCCTCGTCAATTTCTTCCCGTCTAGCGCTGCTCTCTTCTTGCCAGCCTGCGAGGGAGGGCCCGAGGGAGGCACCTCGACCTCAATTGGCAATCGGCTGGATTGGGATGGATCGTGATGGACGCCTCGTCCACCAATACTCGCACCCTGCTACTGCAGTACAGTTCGCGAGGTTCTGCACATGGCCAACCACGCTCGAGGCCAAGGCCCAGGATCACGGCTGAGGCCTTACGCAGTTCGATCATTCGGTCGATCCACCGAGCCGGGAGTGTGGACGGAGGGACCGGGCGAATGACGACCTCACGTTCCACGCGCCTTCTATCTCCGGCACTGCAACACTCGTCGCTGCTGATTTGTCACGTGTTCCCATCACACGTCATCGACCGTTTCATTTGTCCGCATTCTGGCCTTCAGCAGAACTGGAACCTACCGTACCCGTCCACCTCCCGAACTGTGCAACGTCCACCGGCAGCAGCCGGAGAGTCCACCGGAACCCGGCATTTCTATTCGCGTCGCGCTCTGGGCGTTCGGTTCCTAGAAGCCTTCCTTCTCTGCTGCAGGAGGAAAAAGGCCGTGGCTGGGTGGTTGGAAGGAACAACGTCTTTATCGGGGATCACATTCGATGGACTTCGCGTTCACAAATCGGCCTCGGAGACAACTACAATGGTTCTTTCTCGACATGTTCTTAGAATGATGAGCATCTCGCTGTGACAGTCAGTAACTGCAGTGGACTGTTAGATGGAACACACACAAAGTAACTGCAGTCGACTGTTAGTTGGTACACTCACAGAGCTGTTTGTTTGGTGACTGACTATGATCGGGACTGCGGTATTCAAGCTGCTCCATAAGCGTGGGGGTCAGACGTATCCAACATTATTTGATAATTTTTTATATAAGGAAAAGTTCCAAATTCTTCGCAATGCACAAGGCACCTTCTTCACTTTCCCGGTGCACCTCTCAGAGTGGGCCAACACTAAGACCCTAGAAACTTTTTTATGAACTGTTTCAGTCATACATCTAAACTTCATTGACTCTTTACTGGAGAAGCTAGTCCAGCTCTCCTAACTTGGCTATGGCTGTAATATGCCGCTCGTAGCTTAAAGGCACAATCTCAAGTAACCCTACCTAATACTGCAAAACCCCGCCCCATCTGGGTGTTTCATAATTCATATTTGAAACTAATGTTATATGAACGCTACTTCTGTCTCTCCAGGACCAGATCTCCGACTGTTTGCACTAACTCCTCTTCCCCTCCTTCTTCCTCTTCCTCCTCCTCGTATTCTTCATATTCTTCGTCCTCATCATCCTCTCCTGCTTGTTCACCTTCAGCAGATGCACCTGAAGGTCGCCATTCTTCAGGTGGTTCGAAGTCATCCGATATCGCCTCCTTTTGAGCCATTACCATGTGCCTTATCACTCTCTCGTCCTTTTCAAACATAGTATTCAAATCGTTGATGACATCGGTTCCAATCTCGATATTCATCAGCACATAATTGCCCTTCTCTGCTTTCTTAATCTTGTACGCTAATCGTCGCATACCCCAGTCGTTGATTCTATAGATAAACCCCTTATTTGCCAAAACGAAACCTGCACACGGGGCAATGATCGCCAATAAGGCTTCGAATCAATGGCAACTCACGTCTAGATACACTTTGTTATTTCGATCTCAATTATAACAGATTGTTGCAAAATCGGAAGCCAAAATGGAGGAAAACACATTGAAGATGAACTTGAAGTCAATACTGTGCTTACCAGTAACTTTCTCGATTACACTTTGGACCTCCTCTGCATTCTTTTCATGAATTACGAACATAATTTCATAATGTTTGTCTGCGACCGGTGACAGAGCAATTATCAAAACTGCGATATGAAATCAACATGAGAAAATCTAACATTTGCACCAGGAGAGAACTGATTTCTTTTAAATCCAAATTTTAAAAGGGACGAAGGAGGCAGTGGAACATACATGTGTCCATGTCCAAACCACTCTGCAGCTCCAGATTGAGAAAAGACTGAAGTTCATCTGTACAAACCGAATTGTTATTAAAACAAGCAGACGAAATAAAGTACAGCAGATTATTCATCACTGGACCGGCAAACTTGAAAAACCTGAAGTCTTTGAAACATGATAATTAGTCAATCCTCCAAGTGCATGATATTCTCCAGGTACACAGCAACAAGAAACTGGTGCAAACTTGAGTCTAATTACGTATAAATATTTACCTTTGGAAAGTTCGTCAAAATCTGGCAAAAACTCTTCGAAACTCTGCTCCTTTTTCTTCTCAAGTTTAGCGTCATCACCCGCACGGGCAGAAGAAGCATCCGAATCTTGAAAAGATAGGGAGGAACATCTGACACTCCTCGTGTTAGAGACACCATTGGTCAAATTCGAAACCCTACATTTGTAGTTCCATGATGACAGGCAGAGAGCACGCTTATGTTGAGAGGAGCAAGATGTGATAAAACTACGGCAGCTCGCACGGCAACTGAAACTCGACTCATTGCTTGCGCCGCATCTACTGCTGCTGCTGCTATTCCAGGCGACAAAAATCTCCCGGCTCGGAGCAAATCTTCCACGTTCAGAATCAACGAACAAATTCCTGGAAGCGATGCCGGAAGCAGACGCCCCCACGGGGTGCGATGCTAACGCCATGCTTTATCTCCAACAGGGAATTCCGCCACCGCCAACTCCGCTCCTCACCGTCCTCAATGATGGATAAACCCTCGATAACCCTCAGCTTCAGAGCAGTCGTTTAGCTCTCGAAAGCTGCAAAATCTTCCTGCCCTGACGTGACGAATCCCCGTGCGCTCCCCTGAAGTGCGCGCAAGAAGTCTTTCTTTCGCAGCTCACTGCAATTCTGCCGCATCCATTATCCACCCGTGCCCCTGGATTCGTGTACATGCCACATACTTCTGTACGAGCCGCAGGCCCCCAGGCCCCCTCTACCCTTTCCGGGTGTCAGAGCTTCCGCTCTTTTGGCGCAACTTGTCGCTCTCGTAACTTAATGCTCTTCTAACTTAACACATTCGACCTCGCTTACTATCGGTATAACATCGCGGAGGTTCAATGGGCACCTCAGACTATTTGCTCATCTTCCTTCACGATTTGGTGCCCACTTTTACAACTAACTCCCAAACACCCACAATACATTTGTACCAAAAAAAAATGATGCAAAACACGTCAACGATATGGTATAGACAGTTTATGCAACAGTCTCAATTTTTAATCATCAGTAGAGTTATTATTATAAAATTTTGTAAGAAAAGGAATGCTTGAAATTGATATGACTGGAATATATAGCATTGCAATTGCTTACAACTTCTAACTTCAACAAGTGTTTTAATATATCGCTACATGCTAAATGATTTATCTGTAATTATATAGCATCAATGAACTATGTCTCTGTATTTATTAAAGTAATTAAAATAATAATAATTTCAATTTTGATATAATGTTTACTGCAGAGAAGATTGGTGATGTCAAAAAATAACTATTTCCTCTATTAGAATATCATCAACATTTTGAAAGTATAGCTAAATCAATGATGAAATAGGAAGAAAAAAACGAATTTTATAAAAAACTCTGTGTTTTTCAACAATGTTTCAAATATGAAAATTTATTCCAAAAAATTTGAGATTTCATAACACTGAAATCAAAGAATAAAAAAAACACATATATGATAAATATGCTGATGCATGCCACAATACATTCATAAATCCTTTTTCGTAACATTTTGTAAATAACATATCAACAACTTTAATATTGTTATCTACAATTAAATCACTCAATATGCAACTTTGAACAATCAATTAGAATCTCAAATAGATTAACATGTCAATCGTCCATTAGAATATAAGTGAACGCAAGGCTTTTATATATATATATATATATATATATATATATGTCAATTAAATGAAATTATGTTGTATTGGTTTCTAAAAAATAGTAAAAACGTGATATATATTAAGAAAAAAATATGATTCAATATCAAGGTAGGTGTATCAAACTAATATACCTGAGATTTATCCTGGCATATATAGCAAGTTGACTTATAGGAACATACTGAATGAAGCTTTTAATGATGCAAATTCTCGGGTTTTTATACAATCACTCAAATGATCATTCAAAAACTTACCATTTTATGAATTTCAATTTTTATCTTATTGGATATTTTCACCGAGAAAAGAGAATAAAAAAAATTCGTAGTTCTTGATATAAAATATAAATAAAATAAAATAAAATTTCATGGATTCAAGAGTTGTCTAATTATGTTTATCAAAATGTATAATGTGCATCTTAATTTTCATTCAATATCAGGTTTGATTAAAATTAAACTATACTTTTAGAACATAACATGCACTATACATAAAAATGTTAAAGACATAAATTCAGGTCGATTTCATGAAATTTAAAACTTTGAACAAATGATTTATACAAAAGTTTTGCAAATGTTATATATATATAGAACCAATTTCTATGTGCATTATATACTCTATTGTACTTTAATTGTACTCTTTGATTCAAAATTTACTTATTCATAAAAACAGCCACATTTAGATTAAATTTTGATGTTATTACAAATTCATCATATCAATATTTTCAGTTCACGTGAAGTTTTTATAATTTTCTATTTGAATGTGAAGGTTTTGTTTGGGAATAAGTAAAATCTTGTTTAAATTTCGTTTTTAGGTGCTAATATTATTGTGTCTGTATAATTTCCTTCACAAACTTTTTATTCAGAATTTGTGAAGTTATAGCTATTTAGCTAAAAAACAGTATTAGACTATTTGTTTATTTCTGAACGCTCAAATGTAGTACGTTAATACAACTTATAAAAATGTTTGCAAATTAATAAATTTTGATAGGTTCTAGTTGTTTTTAATCAAAAGGATGAATTGTAATCATGATATTATGGTTTAGATCATGGAATTTTGGTTGTTAAAACTAAATTTAGAATTTGGTTTTTCTCAATTATAATTACTATGGTTGGTAAAAGTATGATAGCTACGGTTAATTCATTCAATATAATTACTGTTGCGTAGGAATCCAATGTTTTCTATCTACTGTGATGTGGCAATATGATTTTAGACATGTTTGGTGGAGACAGTGAAGTTTGTTGGGGATTATTACGAACTTAAAATTTTGTTTGGACTCCTGGATTATCTCATGATACGAGTTTTCTGCGTCAATCTCAATAGAGCTAAAACATCTCCAAATTATTCATCTTCTCGTCTCGCTCTTTATTTGTATTTTAATTTAATTTAATTGGTTGAATGTATTCCTTGCATTCTTTATTGTTCATGATATACTGGAAGCATAATGTTGAACCACTAGTGGCTGACACTGGATATATCGGAGCACGATGAGTAATTGCGGTTTACTACACGACAGCTTTCAGCATGAACATTCACTTTGATACTTTTTCCATCGCTACATTCATCTTCCGAGATACTGATTTCACATTTACAGTATTACAATAAAGAGTTTGTGAGATTTGGATGAAAAGGTTGCAAAGAGAGGTGACTTGAGTAACTTCAAGATCTTTAGATTTAAATCCAATATTTGCATTGAGGTGAAGATTTTAAACATTTGTAGACAAAATTAAGAAAAAAGCCTAAGTGACAGATGATTGTTAATAATCCAAACAAATTGAATTTTTGAATAACAAATTTTAAACTTCAACGAGGTCCGAGAAGAGGTCATTTCCCCGAATGAATAAGATAGAGCGATATTTATGTAGTTAGAAAATGTAAGCTTCAAAAGTATGAAGTGTCTAATTTTAAAATGATTGAGAGGTAGGGATATGATTCATGGCCACATGAGGATCATTATTGAAGTTGGATTGAGTTTTATAAAAAGAATACAAGGTTAAGAAGACGCAATGAAGGAGTTAAATCGCTGAGAAAAATTGTGTGATTTTGTGAAATTATAGAATATATCACTCGAATCTTTTGAAACATTTGACATTGAGAAATGTCATAGATGGTCGGTTTTATTGTAAATTTATAACTCTTAAGAAGGCACAATATACCTAACGAATTACAAAAAAATCCACTAAAAGTCTTGTGGATCAGTAACATGACGATCATCACAATCAGCACCTGCATATTTGCCATCTTAATCCAACTAACATAGTGGAATGATAACACTAATTAAAGATATGATGTAGTAGGTAGTTTATGAAATATATGTATGAGAAAATTTATCTCCATTTTACAATATATTTAGTTTAAAATCAAACAACTTACAAATATCCTATTTACATTTAAAGTCATACATTTGAAATTAGAGTCGATAAAAGATACAATCGACAGAGTCAAATTTCTTTAATGATAATTGATAATTTTCAAAGTATTTTCTCTAGAAGTTGAATATAACAATGGGCAAAACAACAATATCATTAGATTAGTTCCAATTATGCTATTTTGAGCACTTCTTGCCAAGAGAAAAAATTTTTAATGTCTTGCAGGACACTCTCACATACAACGATCGAATTTACTGTCCTTGAGGGTTCTTCATTGCGTTTTCCTACCAAGCGGCCATTGTTCACCGGTTAGAGAAACATAAGGTCAGAAAAAAGTATGCTGATTGCGTGGTCTGCGATAGTGGTCGATGGCATCGTGTTTTGGCTAAACTTGCAGTTAAAAGTGAAGAGCAAATAGCAGACAAGTCCCAGTTCGTTGACGATGGCAGCTTGGTGAACGAAAGTTGACATGCATGCGAGAGTGCAGGGCGAACGAAGCGTTTGAGGACTGTCCCAACTCCTTGGCAATGACATGATAGTACATTTGCAAGGTCGGAATCTCGAGGCGATGACGTAGATTCGGAATCCGGATGCCGGAACGGAGCCAAAGCAACACGTATGAAGGAATTACACGAGCACAGAGCTGCGAGTTGTCCGTTGGACTGAAGACGGACAGGTGAGGTGAGAGTAGCCCTGCAGCGGCCGGAGCCATATGTTCCTCATGGAAAAACAAGGAGTGAGAGCCGGGACCTGAGTCACGCCCGCTCCCAATACACGGGACACGACGAACAACAAATCACGACGAGTTCACGCTGACGATAAGGTTGTGCAGTCGTCGTGACTGGTGCGCACCGGCTGGAGCCCGCGGGTACAACGCTGCCGAGCACGGGTCTGGAATGGTCGGAACTCCGGGACTGAGTTTTCATGAGGGAGGAGTGGACTCCACAATCTGGATCAGTCTCGTGTCGTGTCGTCCTCACGGACCGAGGACAAACGCAGTTCTGTAGGTCTGGTATGGACGGGTCCCGTCCCGTCCTGGCCTTGTTTCTGTCTGTCGATAGAAAACCGAAGGTATGTGCTTCGACCCAGAGTACTACTGTACTGTAGGTCTGGTAAGGAACGAGTTCCGAGAGACGGCCGAAAGGGAAAGGCAAAGGGGAAGAGCGAGCGCTCGTTGTCGTGTCTTCCAGGCAGAGGAGCAGGAGCAGGAGCAGCAGGAAGAGGAGGAGGAGGGAGCGAGGGACGACGAAGGGAGCAGCAGCCGCAGCAGGTGGAGGATGGAGGAATGAACAGCGAGGAAGTGAGATTGGGAGGGAGGGAAGAATGCCGCAGGGGGCGATGAAGAGGAATTGGAGGGCAAGAGGAGGTGGTGGATTAGCACAAGGTTTAGGTTGGAAATGTACAGAGGAAGGCCGTAGGAGTGCGGGCAACTGTTGTTGAGGTCGGATATGGAGGGGTTGGATCGATCATGCCACGTATCATGGCACAAGAGCAGAGTTCTGGTGTGCGGCGGCGTAGCTTGGAGAGCGCCATGAAGGAACCACAGGCGCGCACCAAAGTGGTGCTGCGCCACTTGCCTCCCTCGATTTCCCAACAAGTTTTATTGGAGCAAATACACTCCAAGTATGCCGAACGTTATACTTGGTTCAACTTTCATCCGGGGAAATCCAGGTGAATGTTGCTGTCGTGCAATCTCTCTCGTGTCTTTGTCGCTTTTTCTTCAGCTTGTGGCAATCAAGTCTAGGGGTTCATCTGGCCATGATTTTTTCGGAGCTGTGAATTGCCCAGCAGTTTACTCGTGTTTGGAAGCCCTAGTGTACTGAAGGTGGCAAGTTTGATTTTTGAATTCTGCTTTGAAATGATCGAACTCAACTTGTGTGCCAATTGTCTTACAGCATGACTATTGATGACATGACTCATAAATTTTGTTAGGTTTCATTACCTTTAGCTTCATAACCATTGTACATCCGCACCTGTTTTAACTCGTTGGTGTGTTTCAATTCGAAGAGGATTTAGTTTTATGGAGTCACGCAACTGTTCGTCAGAAGACAGACTACTCCAAATCACTAATTCAGACACTTGGACCACTGTTGTGAATGATTGACCGACCATAAATTGGAGCAATGATCGCAAAGTCCCCGGCGTCTTTCTGTGGTCCTCTTGATGAAGGTCCGAGTGGGTTTTGCCCATGACGATCAGACGTTTTCAGACAATACAGAGCCCGAACAGGGTCAATTGGATGTCCATCAGTGTTGCAAGCTGGATTATCCCCCAAGGGCCCTGTCATAAGAAGGAAACTTTTAGCAACATGTGTGAACCAGTCAGCACGAATGTTCAGTGATTATGGGTATCTGTTGATGAAATTCGGATGCCAGATTTCTACTAATACTGGACAGACAGGGCATCCTTCTTTGTAGCTATAGAGAGATATTTGGAGCTTTCGAGTGACATTGTGACCAGTTTCTTGCTAAATAGGGACTGTTCCAGTAAATTAATCAGTTGAGAAGTCAAGAAGGTTACAAGCAGTTTTCAGTAAATCGATTGTGGAAAGTAGGGCATAATGATTGCTTTTCCTCCCTGCCAAGTTCAAAAAAATGTTTCTACAATCTGCCAGTGAGCTTGTATATTTGGTGCTAGTAATGGTTATGGACAGAGTAATGGTTCCATGTTCACAGACAATTTAGTTTGAGGAAAGGTCTGGTCCGATGCAAATGGCGATAAATATAAGAATTCTGCTTGCTGGAAGCCTACTTGCATCATCCTTGTTGCCTCTATCACATTTGCATTGTTCCAATGCTGGAGAATGCATTCTTATGTTTTTTTTCGTTCCCCTTGCTTTCCTTTCCTTGTACTGAAGATGCTCACTGTAGTAGCCCTGCTACAAGAGAACTTGTAGTAGTACCTCGTGGTCTTATGAGGCTGCAAATGGGAATTGGCCCCTTGATGTATTTTAATACAACTTGTTTGGGTGTTTGATGCAGTCACAAGAGGCAGGTCTTTTCTCAGGCATACATCAATTTTAAGAAGTCAGAAGATGTCTTTGACTTCTACGAGGATTTTGATGGCCACATATTTGTAAATGAAAGAGGTTGGGCATCTCATTCGTAAAGCCGTAGGAATGAAGTTAAGCGTCGTAATGCTAACCATGCGATTTGTTCTGCACTCTCCAGGTTCGGCTGTGAACAGGCTCTAGGATTACAGAACTAGTGAAATAGGCGGGGAAATCGTGAATCTGCGCATGGAATATTCTTCTTTATATTTCTTCCTGCAGCTTTTTTGATCAGATACAAAAGCTAATTGGGTGACAATATGAGAACGCTTCAAGTTTTGTAGGCTTCTTTCCTAGCCCCTGTGCAACGGTATGTATACTGAGATTAAAACACGAGGTGGTGCAATATTTGAACAGGAACGCAGTGTAAAGCGAGCGTTGAGTATGCACCGTACCAACGCATACCGAAGCCTCGATCCAAAAAAGATATACGAGAAGGAACTATCCTGAAAGGTCAGTTGACTGATTATTATTAGCTGCTAATTTTCGATATTGTGTTGCACGCGTGTGACATGTTTGGGTAGTCTGAAACAATCGATTTTGTGCACGGCTAACTCTTTGATGATTAACGAAATCCCAGATCCGGATTATCTTGAGTTTTTGGAGATGTTGGGAAAACCGACGGAATTTCTTCCAAGTGCGGAGGTACAACTTGAAAGGAGGGAAGCAGAGAAGGCAGCAGCAATAGGTTGGTCATTGACAGTTTTCTTTCTAAAGCTCCTGAATGCTAGAAGGCTCTTGATTTTTCCTAGTTTATTCTTAAGGTTGAGGATAAAGACCGTCTGTCATGGGCAGGTCTTTTAGGTACGTTTCTCAGAAATCGGCAGACCTTTACTTACGCCTGTCAGAATTGGTACAGCTGCGGGTGGTGCCAAAGAAACAGTTGTTGTGACTCCCTTGATGGAATTCGTGCGGCAGAGGAGAGCTGCAAAGGCCACACCACAGGTGGTTTGAGGCCTACTTTCCCATTTTCGTCTGAAAGTTTCTCTTCGCTGTTAGTTCTGATTTTGTCTTCTTTCATATATCCGACTCAAGATTTTAGCTTTGCGCGAGGGTCATCTTCAGTTGCCAAAATCATCTAGAGAGGGCGATTGTCGAATTAGGGAACTTGCCTTTTATCCAATCCATTGTTTGATGTCGGACGGTAACTTCGGAATGGGGAGACGACTCTGTTTTCGCCCATTACTCCCTTTGAAAGTACTGACGTTAATTAATCACGAAATGCACTTTGTTGTGGCGTCCTAACATTATGTTGATAGTTTCAGTGCTTCTGTTGTACGGCCAATAGATAGTATATTCTCATCATCTCAATGTTGGAAGCACATTCGTTTGGCAAACGAAAAGACTAGGAACGTAGGTTCTGAGAACCTGCAAAGGCTGTACGTTTCTGTTCTTATTGAATGTACATAACAGATGCAACTAGTACTACGTACAGAAGTAATAGGTTGTGCAAGAACTCGAGTTTTATCTCTAGTCGGACCAAATATCTGTCTGATGCCTGCAGAGATTGTCTTGTCCTTGATTGGTACAGAGATCGTTGTCATCAAAGGTCGGTTCTCGGTCTGGAGGAGTCGCCATTACTTCTTTGAATCTAGCCTCACACAAGCGAGGTTTGGAAAGATCCCGCTCGGGCCCTCTCATGGCAAGTGGACCGCATTCCTTTTTCTACAAATTAATTTCTAAGGCCTGGTAGGAAAGAAAGGCTGGCGATGCAAATTTTATCTGTGTGCGGTGCGTAATTATACTTTTCGGCGTGTTTCGCAGTATGTAGCGGACAATTCTATGTCGATCCTCACTCAAAAAGAAGCCAAAGACGCTCCAGCTCAAATACTCGGCTCACGTCGTGAAGATCAGCAGCGTAAGGATAGGGAGGTGCTGAACGACAGGAAGAAGAAAGAGCTTGCTGAGGGTAAAGAGAAGAAGGCAATCAGAGATGCTGTAAACCCATCTATATTTTTGGCCAAGAGCAGTGCATCGATTTTGCGCATGGACAGTGGGAAAGATCGTAGCGCGGGTGTTTCAGTGAAGGATTCTGTGGATACTAATGGTGAGTAATTTACTGGAAACTAGGTTGTGGATGAGTGTTGATTTTGTATGAAGTTACACTTCTTGGACAACACGGGCAGCTCGGCACGTTTTAGTTGGCATACTTAAAACTATAATTGGGCGTCAACAGATCCTTATCTGACTGCAAATGAAGGATCTGCCGTTGATCTGGATTCGTCAAGCTCTCATGGACTCGTCAGGGGAAAAGCTGGAGCTAATGATGGATTATCAGGAGACGGAGCGAAGGACTTGAACAAGCGCGAGGTTTTACGGAGGAAGCAGCTACTGTTGTCGAAGGACAAGGTTCAGAAGGATAATGTAAGACTTTGGAGATCTTTGGATCCTTCTTGCGCTGTCATTAAGAGTGGCAACTTATTAGACTTTTACGCTTGTCCAGAAGACAGCCACAATCAGACATTTACCTGTCATAAAATGACAGCTGACTTTGTGGTTTTCTGCAGCTCTTATTCGAAATGTTATGTGCAATATAAACTTGTGCGTCTTTTTAGCTGTTAGCGGAGTTGGTATTGGAAACTCAAATTTTTCAGTTTGTTTGTCTCTGTTGCCTTTTGTTCACCCCTTTCACTCAACTGATTGTAGGAGACTGGTCCTGGAAGTCCGAGCCTATCTTCTGCTACTGGTGGCAGCTCATACAGCCAACGACATCGGCCTCCTGTTTCGCCAAGAGTTAATTCTCCGGGTACTCCTTCGCAGCAGGGTCCATCTTCCTTTTATAACTCTATGTCGGGAGAAAGTAATACTCCCACTGGTCTTTCTAAATCCGGGCATCGCCGAGATCTTGGAAGGAATTCGACCCGAGGTGGGTTGTCACCTAGAGAGCATACGTCATCTGTTCAGCAATCAGCGTCCTCTCAGCTTCCGTCGGATCCTCAGACGCAATCTCAACAAGTTTCTAACCAGACAGAGAGAGTAGGAAAACGTCCACCACGTCCCCAGAGTGCGCGGGCAACTGGCAAAGAACAAGTATTTTCGTCTGCCTTTCCCTCAGAATCCGATGCAGGTCCGTCGACAACGGAAGAGAAGATTAGTAATGCTTCGCCGAAAGAGGCTTACTCTGCAGGTACAGGAATCGATAAGCAAGACTCAAGGAGAGTTCGGAACAAAGACAGACCTGACAGGCCAGTCTGGACCCCTCGTCGACGCTCTGACACAGCTCAATCCTCCGATCCGTCGTCTTCTTGGGTCCCTTCAGATGCATCTGCTTCAGATAATGTTGCCCCAGATACACCAGCAACCGCTGGTTCCTCAATTGGAGTTGACACAGTGTTCAAGCCCGACAAGGCAGAGAGGGTTCCTCATCGACAGGCTGGTAAGGGTGCTACGTCGGCAGAATCAGGGAGTGGGGAAGGTAAGACTTCAGTGGCGTATCAAGGTTCTGGATCAGTGGAGGGGGGAAGAGTTCAAACCGGCTTTGGATCCGCATACAATACAGGTTCTGGAAAGGTTAGGTATGTCGAATCCAGTACTGCTCGTTCTTCACGGGGTGGTCGACCTGGTGGGATTGTACTTTCCATCCAGGAACGTACATCTCCACAGGTCGAGCAGAAAGTTGACGCATCACCTACTGCTGGTGATTCGAAAACTCCAACTGCCCAGCACCACGAGAGAGAAAATGGAGAGATTACTCCGTCTTCGGCAATTGACAAGGAGAGACGAAAGCTGGACAGTTCACCTTCTTGGAATGAGCCTTCAGGTAATTGTACACGAAATCTGTGGTAGTTTCTCATTCTGATTATGTAAATTAGTAAGTGACATGCATATTCCTTAAGACTCCATGAGTTTTGCTTTTCCGGTTATTTGAGTTGCATCAGGCAACCGCTTATTCATCCTTCGACCATTCTACATGAATGCGATTTAGAAAGCATCACATAAGATAAAGCCATTGTGAGTCATGTGAATTGCACGACCGTGGTCGATTGAATGACATGCCATCCAAGGTAGACATTTGAAGAGTGATACCAATCCTTTAAATGTTATCGTGGGTTGATATCTGCTTGAATTATGAATACACAGTATTAATAGTTGGGTTTGTGCTTTTGATCTTAAAACCCAGGCGGAGGTCACAGATCTGTGGGTCGAAGGGAAAGGGCATTGCAGCAGGGTTCGAAAGATGTTGATGGTGCTGCAGCTGGGCCTGAGTCGAGCAAGCCTATAAAGCGCAGCGGAAGCCTTTCATTAGGAAGCAACGAGGTAGATTTATTCACCAGTGATTGTCTGTTTGTTGTGTCGAGCTTTTCAGGCTATGACAGCGAATGTGTCCAGTTCTACGTCGAGGAAAGTGGGCGTTGGTCAAGCAAACTTGTGATTATACTTGATCTTGTGATGATATACATCGTCTTCTACTGTCGCCGAACGTTTAGAATGTGGCACTAGTAACATTTTCTTACTTTTCTATTCAAATCTTACGTGCAGAAACAAGTATGGGTTGCTGTCCAAAAGTCAGGATCTGGAACGTGAAATTAAGGAGGTCTGGTAATCCCTTCAACATGCCTAGAATTTTCGTTTTTTCTAGAATTTACACTTGTCTCTCCTTTTAGGCAAGAGATCATTGTTCGGGGTTATTTGATGTGTTTAGATATGCGGAGGATGCAATAAATAGCCTTTGGATATTGTAAGTCAGCCATGGTTGAATCTATGGAGTGGAGAGATGGTAAAATCTTTCAATTTCTATGTTTTGTACTGCCAATTGTCAACCAGTCAGACTTCTGTTTATATACTTGTTGTCTCCGTTTTACATGTATTCAGCCGTCTGAACTGCTTAACTCTGAAGACGTCATAGATTTCAGAGTCCCACTATCCTTGCGGGGAAAGCCCAAAGGGTATTGTAGCATGTGGGGAAAAGTACGCTCTGTGTCGATGCCCAGAGAGCGCAGAGCCTCTGTAGTGTTGAACAGCCTTTTGAGTAGAGCCACACAAGACAGGGCATAGACCAGAGTACAAGCTATTGACTCGTCGATGAATGCGAACAGACAGGATAGATCCTGAGGCCACCGCAATAACCCTCGTGATAGTCCAGTTGCTTGTAGCACTCGCTACGACTAAATCTGCACTCCTCGGTAGGTTTATGCGACGCACAGAAGAGTCAACTGCCCTCCCCGTTTTAGCTGAAAGAGCAGTAGATCTAGTCAGACTGCAAGGCGCCACTCCGGTAGCTGGAGACAGTTTGTTTGGAATGTGTGACCATGACCATTTTTAAGGGAAACGCTAGTATCGTTACAGTTGTTAAAAGTTTTCACATGCTTCCATCTTTTTTGTTGTTGCAAAATGACATCTACTAAGTCAGCAAAGTCTTAGTTGAACCTTGCCACTTCATCCCCTTTCACAGGCCTATGATATTTTTATTTATGTGCCTGGAAGTAAGCTCTGCATCTTTTCATTGTAGGGATGTTTGCTTGTTCTGGTGGTTCACAATCCAGCAGTCTTAACAGTCGAGCGGCTTTCAAACACGTTCTTGCAGGGACTTTGCAACTGAAGTGTTTGATGCACCTCTGGCATGGTGGGAGAAGAGGTCTCCCGTTCTGAGCTTGTCTTGTCGATGCAAATCAACCTCTGTATTGGATCTGCAAAGCTTCAATAGCGTAACGGGCAATGGACCTGGCAAGCGGTGGTTCACACAGGAGAACTCGGGAGGAACCCAACGACCAAAGAGGCAGAGAATGATCGAGTACCATGAAGTAAGTTGGTGCGTAGTAAATCACACTGCGGATTCCACGGCAATGAACGTGTTGGCATCACTTATGAAGTTATAAGGATGTTCGGAGTATTTATGCGCGTCAATCAAGCCGTCAGGTTTGGTCAGGAGTTTGGTGATGCGCAGAATGTATGGTCTTGTTTCTCAGATGGTTGTTGCATTCAAAGATCCGAATCTTGACTGTACCTCAAGAGATAAGTCGCAAGCGTAGACACAGTTCCTGCTCACTGTTCTGGAAAAGAAAGGAAAGGATATTGGGTGTTCCGTGGGTGTGTCAGTGACAGAAATGTGCAGATGTGATGTCCAGCTTCAAGTACCTGGGCAAGTATTCTTTCTCTTGTTGTGCTACAAAATGAGATAGAGGTATGAATCATTTACTTCTCGAATGGAAGGCAGTGTAAGCCTCACAGAGAGACGAGTTGTCACTCTGGATTTACACTCGCGACGTGAAATGATCGCCTCTCAAATGCAGTACCCGCAGATTGAGTCTTTGCATCGGGAACATGCTTAGCTTGTAGAATTTTGGGACACCTATGTTTGTAGTCTGCATACACTCATTTTGTGTAGCCATTTGTTTCGCATGAGAGGTCTTTGGGTATTTGGGTATTAGAAGACATGTCCTGAAATGTTAATCGATGAAGGAAACATGGACTACCCAAACAGTTTCAAGAATTTGTGAACGTTTTTTCTCTCTGTGTTGGGGTGGACGGATGAAATTGCCTTCGCACTTCAGCTCAGTGTCACTTGTCACCGTGCAAGATGTTATATTTGCCTTGCCTTGACTTGTAACACAAGGGCCAAATCAATTGTTCTTGGAGTCCAAGGCATACTCTGACCTAGGTGGGAACACAATTCTCCCATGGCCTTGTTTATTTAAGGTGTTAGTGACTCGATTACCCTTTGTATGGGTGCTACATAGTAATAAAGATGCACTAACTCCTATATAGTTGGAGAACGTAAGGTTAGGTGTCTCGCTATCACTGCAAGTGAATGTGTACTGTATGTTGTGAGTTAGCATCACGGTCCTTTGTGACTATCAATACAATAGTTTACATGTGGAGCCTGCTTTCAAGAACTATGTTCTAACATGATTTGTGAAATAGCGAAATTTCGGCTTTTGTTATCAGCTACCAAATTTTGAAGGCAGACCTGTGCATGTGATACTTCGGACATGCGGTACCGAATCTGCTTGTGAATATCCGAGAATAATTTATTGGCCAAAAATCCATGGCGTTGACATTTCATGTATGTATGCAGTATAGAACAAAGAATTCTTAGGCATGTAATGAGCTAATATCATAAGGTGTTTGTGGAATACATCAGGAAGTAACGTTGATGTTTCAAGAAAAGAGTAAACTGTCTTCCTCTCATAACACTCTGTAGTATATTGGCGATTTTGTCTCTAATTGGGGTACCTGGAAGGAAAACATATGCGAAGATGGGATGAACATTCTTCACCCTGAAAGGTTGAGAGAGAAAAGTCTGCCTCAGCAATCTCAAAATTTTTGTCAAACATTTCTCGAAATCCAGAGAGTAGCATCGTACCCGGTCTATTAATGGGATAATCGAGCTTCAACTACCAGAAAATGCTGCCGAACCAGAAAAATTATAGAGGATGCATGGGAAAGGAAAGAAGAACTTCTGCACTTCACAGTGGAATTGCCGGAAGCTGTCGACGAACAGTCACACAGATCTGATACGATAGCTCCTTTATAAAGAGGCTTGTCAATGTATTTGTATTTCGACGCGAAGTGTCCACAAAAAATCCTTAGCCTTGACGGACCAAGGGCTAGACTAGATAAATCCTATTTCCTTCGTGCATTAGACAAGCTTACCATTTAGTTGCTCTTGGGGCTGCTCCTATCCTACCCATTTGATTCATCTTCGTCGTGTAAGAGTATGTAATATTTGGGAGAAGAGAGTGTAGGAACTTGTCTCGTTATGAGCTTGATCGGAAAATGGGTTCTCAAGCCCAACCTTCTTCGTCTCTGATGTATATGAATACTGATTTGGAAATAACGTTACTCTATGGAAGTTTGTGTTTATCACTTAATGACATATGAACCATGGTATTAGTTTCGAGAAGACATAATTTGTTTGAAATAAAATTTCAAGTCTACATGTTCTCTGGGTGACTACAAAGGAAGTGCCATAAGGCTAACCTACTGCGAAGAAGTAGTCTTCTCTGGAAAATGTCATTCCTATTGTTCTGATTCCCTGTTTTCAAAGATAACTGGGACAATGATTGAGCATTACCCTCGGCCATTACTTCTTCTAGCTGCTCGTGATTATCATAAGTCAAACCCTGGGATAATACTCTCGATTTACTTTCTTGGTCGAATCTACTATGACACAATTTGTTTCCTAGTAATCAGAGAGAAATTTAATTTAGATGATGCTTGGGGGTATATAGGGGTTGACCTGGATAAGTCAGATATGTTAGGTATTAGAGGACGTATTGACCTGTTTCCTGATAAGGTCTTCCCATCTGTCTTATTATCTCGAGGTGTCATCTTTGTAGGAAACCGAGCGAGCCAAATCCCGGAGTCTAAACATGAGCTGAACAGAATGGAGAGACGCGATGAAACACATCCAAGAAGTTAAGAAGGAGTTGTGCACCCGACGAGTGACACGTGCTGTTCGTCGATTATATAAAGATTTAGTCGTGACCAGAAACTTTCTCATGTCCTGCAGCTCTCACCAGCGGAAAAGATACTAATTACAACCGACGCAGGAACAGTCGGAAAATGAGCAAATTAGCCGACTGCCTGCACCAGCTGCTGGGCAAGGCGCCCACAATTATAGAAAGGAGTCAGTAAATAACAGCATAGCTAAACATTTCAGGACGGACAGCGCATCGAGCAGCGACAGGAACTTTCGCCAGGCCTCACAAATCCTTACACAAAGACTGACACGAACACATAAGGTCACCGGGGGAGGTCAGGAATATAAGCACGTGGATAAGAATGTTCGAGACGGTTAAAATGGTTGTTTACACGATCTACCAAAAATGATCTACATACTGTCATGTACCCACGTACCTTATACAGTAATACCTTCCCCGCCCTTCGGAATCTGTCATTGGAACGAAAATAGTCGCCTTGCGAAATACGAAATACTTTCCCGGCCTTTGGAATCTGTCGTTGGAACGAGAATAGACACCTTGTGATGTCCGAAATACAGATGGACCTTCGAGAGAGCCCCCGTTGTTGTTGTTGTTGCCGATCCGTATGGCGGAATGAATAAACATTGCTCGGGGATCTGCCGTTGGTACGAGAATAGCCGCCTTGTGATGTACGAAACACAGATGGAGCTTCGGGAGAGCAACGGTTGTTGTTGATGCCGATCCCTCTGGTGGAATGAATAAACATTGCTCGGAGGATCTGCCGTTTGTACGAGAATAGTTGGTACGAGAATAGCCGGCATGTGATGTACGAAATACTGATGGACCTTCGGCAGAGCCACTGTCGTTGTTGCCGACTTTGCGGCAGAATGAATAAACATTGGTCGGGGCAAAAGGTGAAGAACGTGCGAATGACTGAGCAACTACAACCGAGTAGGATTCGATCTATCTGTTTCCTTCATTGTAGAGTTCGTCTGGTACTTCGTCTGTTTATAATGTTGCAATGACACCAAAGAGAAATGTGTCTTGCAATGTCGGTAGTATCTGCCAACTCGGCGGGGTACCATGGATACCACCGAGATCATGATCCATGAGACCACCGAGAGCCACATGGAAAGCGGTTCTCCATGTCTCAAGTGGAAAATCATCCCACAAGATTTCATTGAAGCTTGATTGAAATTTTATTTGCACATAAGCACCATTATTCCAATGAAATCCGGAAAGAAGTCATTAAGATTACATGTCATATATCTAGTGTGAAGACAACCACTTCTATAAGTATCATCTTCACATCAGATATGTAATATTTGAACTGACAGATAATCACGCGTTACTTAACAAGATGCTTACAACTATTATCAATATCATTCTAAATCATTTGTTTTGATGACTCGTTTTCGGTTCATGTGACAACACCTAGTGTATGTTTTCAAAAGTTAAAACCTATGCACATCGTACTAAAAGTATAAGATGAGAGTGAGTGGTGCGAAGGGATGGAGTAAGGGGGGAGAGAGAGAGAAAGTAAGTAAGTAAAGGGATAAATAGTCTCAAGATCTATTGATAGGAAATGAAAAAATAATGTACACATATAAACAATTATCTCTCCGCAAAGAACAAAAATAGTACAAAGATATGTGATAGATTTCGTGTAAAATGTATTGCAGCTACATGTTTGAGCGCATCTGCAGACTAGGGGTGAAATTCTTTGAGCGAGAGGGAGTGAGAATATTTTTTTCTTTTGTTTTATGGTGCACATGAATGCAAGGTTGAGTTGAATGACAGCTCAAATATAGAAAAACCACTAGGTTTAGAACTAGGATGATGTAGAATTGGAGGTGGATGTAGCAAAGAAGAATGGCTCAAGCTAATTTGAATGGAGGGTTGAATGATCCGCAGTTTGAAATCAAAGACGAAATCTGGAGGCCTTTGAAAAATTCCAAAAGTTTCGACTTCTTACAAGGTTGCTCTAGGAACGCCTCAATATTTGGCTGTAGACTTTATTTTTAATATTTTTCTGCAGATAATCTGCTACTTCATTGTAATTACGTTTCTGAACTATTATTTTCTAAAACAAAAACTATCTTTCTCGCGTAAACATGAGAAGATATTTTTCTTGTAGCAACACTTAAGAAAATTGTTAGCTTACAGCGAAACTGTTCGACTATTGCAAAACCTATGTAAATTTTCTGGCGATTCATAAGCTCTGTGTATAAACCTGAAGGTTAAAAAAGCATTTAAAGGTTAAAAAAGTATTCCGATTGCAAAACAGAAATATCCCAGATTTTTTTCCCAAGATTTCTTTCTGACTTGTAATTCCTCTTTGACTTTCCTATTTTACTAGAATGAAAAAAAATTTCTTTACTCTCTTGGAAAATTTCCAACAATTTTATTTGTGTAATATGTTTAGAGAAATCCAAAAATTAAAACTATGTTATCTTTGTACGATACTGTTGAATTTTATTCGATGCATTGAGTAAATTTTAGAAAATCAATATGTGTAGTATTTTCAAGTTTAAGTTTAAATTTATATTTACGTTTTCTTATTAATCAATATCAATTTTTTTGTAATTGCAATACAAAAATAATTCTTCAAATTTTATATTAATGAATGTAAATTTTGAGTTTTAAGATTAAGAACTATCTTCATGGTTTATATTTTCACACATCGATCATGAAAAGCTTGGACACAAGTGAAATGACTTTATGAAGTTAAAAAGTATATTTAAAATTAATAGATAAAAATATATTGGACAAATACTGAAAATCAAGTTCATTGTAATAAAAATATTGCCAACTCATGTTTTTTTATCTATGAACACGCTAAAATTTATCAATGTTTTAAAAAATCATATTATATCAGTATATCATCTTGATTCTATTTCATTTAAATTAATATTAGGTTAATAACATTATCTTTTTAAGATTAATCAGTATCAAGGTTAATGAGTAACCTCATGTTTAGCAATTTATAGTAGAGATTGGTAGCCGGTGTTGGATACATATACCCAAGGTTTGTGTATTATCACACAGTACGCACATATTTTCCCCTGTTGAAGTAACCCTTGAGAGTGAACCACATTATACGCTGGTCTCTCTCTCACATTGGTTGTTAATTTGAATGTCTTGTCACTTCCCATTCACAATTTCTACTTTTACAATCATCACATGATATTTCAAGATTATAACCATTGAAACAGTTGCAAATAAATTCATCATCACATAAAATATAAAATTATACTTCCATATGAAAAATTAGATTGTGACTTATGACACTTTTTTATAAAACAGTTAAACTTTTACTTAAACTTTATAATATATGAACTTATAATATTTAGATATTATGTTGTAGAAAAAAACCAAAATAACTATAGATTTGTATTCAATGAGAGAAAAAAGTCATTTCTCATTTAAAATTTATAACTAAAATTGAATAAGATAAACAAAATTTATATTTAGATATATAATTTAAATGTTCATGCTATATATCATTATTAGAAAAATAGCATGAAATATGGTAGGATAATTATTTTTGACATAACTTATTTGATAATGATAATTAAATATGTATTGCTAATAAATTTTTTCACAATTGCGTGTACATCAAGTTTGTCAAAACATGGTCTTGATGAATTTTTTAAAGTATTTTCTTGGACTTCATAGAACAGTAATTGTGATAATGATTCAAAAGTAGTAATATAACAGTAGAATAAATTTTGTATCAACTAAAATGATTATTGAATTCAAACTTTAGCCAATGTGAATCATGATTATAGCACAACATTATCCCTAAATGATGTAAATGAAAAATCATTTTCGATGGATGTTTTTCTTTCTCACAATCAAATTCATGCATAAATCATCACCATTTTGAAATTGTTTTTTTTTAAAACCATGCGTATTGCAAGTCATATAAAACTTGAAAATTTAAAAATTAACTATATATATCTGTATTGTGGTTTTAATCTATCTTATTTTTTGTATGATAATTAAGTGTTTAAATGATAAAAAATAATCTTTTTCTTATCATCATGCTTTTTATTCAAGACATTAATTTTATTTATTGAGTTTTGGATGTTTTTCTTTTATAATATTGTTTGAATTTTTTCTTGAAAATAATGATAATAATATAAGCTCATAATTTTTTCTTTTTTCTCTACATATAATTTCAAGGAGAATAGAAGATTTAGAATTTTCATAATTAGATAAATATAAATAAAATAACATGGAACATATATAAATATTTGATTGCTCTTACAACATATGCAATTATATTTTTATGAAAATTACAATGCAGCCATGTGTTAATTTTTGCAATAAAAAAGCCTGAACGTTGTTTAAAATTTATATTAGGTATGATTAATATGATATTTTATAGTATGATTACTATTATTTAATATATATATATAATAATTATTATTTTACAAAGAGATTAAGGCATGGATTATTTTGCAAATAAAAAATTAATCAATATCATATGTTTGAGTATCATATGTATAAAATCTTCCATGCGTGTTTGCAAGATTGTTGCAAATATCATAACTGAAACATAAGAAGTTAATGTTATGACTTTTAAATAAATAATATATGTCATTCCTACACTTAATACATTATTATATATTATGCAAGTGTTCCATAAAATACGCACTACTTGTACGAAAATCATACTTGGAATTATTGCAAGATATTATCTATCATTTTACACTTGAAATAAGTACTTGTTTTAGAAAAACCCAAATTAATGTAACATGCGACGTATGCTAAAAATCAAAATCAAAGTGTATTGCATGATTCACATTTATGAGTTTTTATATGATTTTTCTTGTCAATTTTTCTTATAATATATTTTGATTTTATAATTTATATACTTTATGTAATTAAAAATACGAAAACTTCTATTTTAACATGACCGTCTATATAATTCAAGTCTAACTCAATTCGTCTTGTTATTCATTTTGGGAAGAAGAAATTTGAGATCCTCTCGAGTAATAATTACAATAGTGAATAATCACAATTATTACCCCAAAAAAAACTTCTACTGGGACTAGCAGAATCTTGTTGTTTCAATAATGCGAATATATAGTCAGTAACTTAGTCAATTTAAAGAAAAATTTATCAGAAGAATGACTACGTTATGTCAGTCTTTTCCCATCCTAAAAGTGCATTAACTACTGATCCATGGGAGTTGCGGAAAAAAGGAAGCAGGGCGTACAATCCAGTGGAGTCTGTCCATGGCAGATGGACATGGACACATCTGGAACATGGTCCCAAAAACGAGTGCAAACGCAATACCAGAATAAAGTGCGGCATATTTCCTCGTGTCCAATGCGAGAGTAGGAACCCGGGACCATCATCAAAGGTCCACCCATCATCAATCCATCGTCACATGATCCCGACTGCTCCTTCAGTTGGTAACGGGATGACAAGGCTTGTGCACTGTACCGCGCGGGGGTTCAGGATATTTCATAACCCAACATTTCATGGAATGTTTCCCTAGATGTTAGAAAGACCTTTTGAAGAAATTATGAAATCCAGGGTTAGGTCGAAAGCCCTGGCTAGAAGAACCAAGGATGAGGGCAAGGAGTCCACATAGAGTTCCAAAATGTAGGCAAACGTGGGTCTACATGTCGTATACGGTAAAGTGCATCAGAGCGTTTCATCATATTTTGTAAAAAATTGAGGAAGTACATATTTTATAAGTCAAAGTTACAATATCTTTCCACCAACATATTTTTCTACTGTTTGAAATCATTTGCTCTTTAAATCGAGACCTTGCATGTAACATGTGTGAAGGGAAGTCTTTCAAATCATGTATGTATGTATACATCATCGAATAACGAAAACGACAAAGGATAAGTTCAGCGTAACGGATTTGGTTTTACGTAAACATCCACACATCATTCGTACTATTTATGAAGATGAAGTAACAAGAATCAAAATTTTCCATGTACTGTAGTAAAAAACATCGTGGGGTCCACATAAGATGAAAAGTGCAATTCAGCGGATGGAGCGAGGAGGATCCCTCCGGTCTTCGATAGCTTGTACATAATGAGGAAGTCCATAGTCCGTGAAGCCTCGGCTCCAATCCAAGGCTTCATGGACAATGTGTTTGAAAAAGCGAAGGATAGTTCCATTTAAATTTTTACTTCTTTCGACAATCATGCATCCATTGTCAAGTCATTCCACGAGAGTACCGTCTCGATCCGTCTTCGTAAGATTGTTCATAAGTCGTTTCAACTTTACATCATGTTTCACGATCGTCGACTATTTACGATCAAGAAGTGCGGCTGTTTTGAAAAGAAAAACGCGAGAAACCTCATCACACAGAGTTCCGGAAATATTAGTTCAAAATCCAAAGAGTTCCGCGAATAGTAGTTCAAATCTCAAGGAGTTCCGGAAATAGTGGTTCAAATCCTCAAAGCATGCTGCTGCTTTTGCGGTCTCCGTTTTTTAAGGAAGCGAGATGATCGGAGAATCTTTCTCTTGCCGCGGTTGTGGATCTGCATGCAGACATCCAGTTTGCCGTTGTTATAAACGTTGCCATGCGGCGGACAAAATTGCTGGACGTTTCGGAGGGTAGGTGGAGCTTCGACAAAGGACGACGCATAAGAACTCTCTTCGATCTGATGACCAGTCCCACATTTCACAGCACAGTTCCGCGAATCCATGTCATGTGCAGGTCCGAAGAATTTCGCATGTGAGAGGGGAGCTCCAAAAGAAGTTAGAGGAAGAAAGAAAGAAGTAGTGACTGTGATCGACTGATTTAGGACCAATCATTTCTCCAGGTACTTTTCTTGATACTCTGTTCTAAGAAGCAAACTTTTCAATGAATGACTTGATAAGCACCCATGATCTCAAATTGCGTCAGGATGTTTAAAGCTGGATTAGTTCTTTGCTTTGAAGAGTTGGTATCAGTAAAGAACATAGAGGACAAGCTTCATTGTAATATTTACATGTCAAGATATGGATTACTCCCATCGTCTGTTTAAGAATATAAACATTGTTGGCGATGATGAATCACTTCGCATTACCACGAGGAGTATTAGCATTAGGAGGTGTGGACATTAGTACAACTTCTTAACTGCTTCCAGCTTAAGTTTCTGTGCCGAGCGTTTGTTTCTTGAAAATCATGAAAGTAATGGGGATAATTGCAAATTTACAGGAAGGTTCATAATTCTCTTTGACATGATAAAAGTAGACCTCAATTAGTTTGTGAGATATCGGAAAATTACAAGTAAACAAGACGTTGAAAGTGTTGGGAGATTCAACACATAGTTTACAACACTTGTCAATATTCAGCAACTATGTAATCAAAGATATGAATGTTTGGCGATTGTCTCTAATCAAAATATTGCAGTCGTTTTGCATTTGCAAGTTGCAGGAAAGTTAATTTGAAAAATTACCTGCCATTCCGATTCAACTAGAACACTGGAACAATGATTGAGACTTGATCTTTTGAAGTCTAAATTGTAGTCAATTGGATGGGATTGAGTCTGAGAAGCTTAAAAGGAGATAAGTCGAATATCTCTGATAGAATCTCCAATCTTCTTTTGTGCCTTGTTACTGTAATTCAACATTCCGCTATTGATTCCATGGAAACTGTTATGAATTCTTCGCTAAGTTGCTTTTATTTAGTTGCTTCTTCACTGATTGGGCTTGAAACTGCGCCATCGAACTAAATCGTCTCAAAAATTAATTCTTCTTTTCACGTGATTCAGAATTGAGAATGGAAGAGGTGCATATATTACTTGGTCCCAACAGTACCAACGGTACTTCAGGTAGAAGAGTGCACATAGTGAAAACCAAAGGTGAAGACTGGGCAGTTCTACGTTTGATATGGATTGGACGGAACTCTGTCAGCATCTCGGAATTTATACACGGCCCTGTGGGGGATGTTGGGATCATTTTGTTGCATGGACTCTTTGCACATGCATAAACATGTGTGAAGCTTAAGCGAGCAACAAAAAGCATACACTGCAAAAGGAACCATATAGGAAAAGAGTTGAAAGCTATTTCAACTTTGACTTTTGTGTTTTAGTTCATTTCAATTTGGACTTCGAGTGACTATTCGACAATACCTTCTTGAGGTTCTATGTTGGAGGAAAGAGGACTAAGAGTGACCAAGTACTGAATCAAAAATAGCTGGAGGGGTAAAGAGGAGAGCGTGGAGTAACCTCGAAGCTGAACCAGGGAATTTTGATGTCTCTTCCATCAGGTAAGTGAGAAAAACAATGCCGTCCATCAATGTCAGAAAATTGCTTCTTTACTCATGTTCTGATTGCAAGTATGGGAAAATTACAAACGCCCCCATTTGATCTCGTAGGTTTCCTTTGTCTATGGAGCATACTGCAGCATCTGCAGCATACTATCGCCCATCACCTCATTGATTGGCTTCATTGTGTCAAAAGATGTTGTTTGCTCTCCTCAGCCGTCACGTATGGTGCCTGGTGTGGGGAAAGCTAATGGTGGATCCTGTTTATCAGTGCCCTACCTCATGCATATCTGTGCACAGAATCCACTGATTGACACGTGGTCACCATGTGTACATTTCCAGTATTTAAAACTGCAGCACGAGTCAAGGCAGACCGCCAGCGATCGTAGTACATCTTAGTAGGTATAGGTATAACATGGAATGTATGATGGCGGTCGATTAGCTCAATAAGTCTTTTTTTTTGTTAATCATCTTGATGTGTTAATCATCTACTGAAATACAGTTTAAGCGAAGTGATAAGATACTCTTCATGACATAGATAGTTAGAGTATATTAGATGCAGCAGTAAATACTTCCCACAGTGATGTTATTGGACCTTAGCTCCATGTTATATGTCACCTATCTCTCTTTTATTTCCATGAGGTCTTCTATCTTTTTGATATCTATGGTGAGTCTAATTAAAATTTATGAGATGAGGAGTACTAAATTATTAGAAGAGTTGCTAACTCTTGTCATAACTTTTACTCCTCGTCTCATAAATTTTATGTTCCATATCTTAGATTCCTCTCAGCATAACACAAAAGAGAAAGAATATGGGGTATTTAAATTTCAGCCTCTGAGCGAAATTATATAGGCTTCGGAAACAGAATCAACAGAGTCTGAAATTTAACGTGAGACTTAGAACAGAAGGAGAGAGTAGCATATAACTGTGCCTTGATACAACCTTCTTTTTTCCTCTTCAGTTAAAAGCAATGTAACTACAACTCATATGTCCCTAACAAGTAATGGGTCTGACACTATATACATGTGAGTTGATAGAATCTCATATTTTTGTTGTAAATAGGGTTAACATGCACTAATTTGAGGTAACTCAGCCTCCTTTTTCTTGGCCTTTTCTAGAAGTTCAAACGAGATAATAAGTATCACTTAACAGTACAACTTCCATAACTGAGACTTAAGACAAATTTGGTTTCAACGGGAAGGTCAGGAGAGGACATATCTAAATTGAAATCTAGTTGAAAATTCCTGTTTGATCAAATTTCAATTTTGAGAGTGATATATGCCTTAAAATTGAATTAAAAATAAAATGAATTTCATTTTCAATCTATTGATTTGTGTTTCTGGAAGCCATATATTTCTTTCTGTTTGTTTAAACTTTGCAGTTGGTGGATGTTCATGGTCTAGCTTCTTCAAGCAACAGCTGCAATATACAGAATAGAAAGACAAAATCCCTATCTGCCGCTGTACAAAGCAGGCACAGCATACCGAGGTGAACATTTCATCTTGAATGCTCCCACGGATTAGTGCCAAAAATAGAGAATTGAGAACAATGTTAAAAGGGATTTAAAGATAGTACCTGCGGAGGATTGTCCCTATGTAAATAGAAGAGAAGGGATGCTAGAAGGACGGAGACAACTACTTCAGAGTGGTGACCCTTCCCTAGAGGTTTGGAGAGCCAAAATTGTTGTCGGAATTTAAGAAAGAAGGGACATGGTCCCCAGTTGCTGGAGTCATGATCCATTTAGTTAGGTAAGTGAAGTATGGTTTTTGAAGCCTAACATAGGCTTCAAAAACCACATCACTCACCTTTTTAGGCTTCTCTGATAGTGGACTCCATCGTGTCACACTGGATAGGTAAGGTTTCGTTGTTAATTGTAGACGGCTGTTTGACGAGGATAAAGGTGAGTCGAAACTGTTTTGAGACCTGGTGCTACACTTCCTGTTTTTTGGGAGCAGTACTTGATTAACTATGTTTAAAACTTATACAAAACTAAAATAATAAATAATAAATCAATGTTAGTTTCTCTTGAAATTTGTCTTAAGGTAACATCTATAATAATTATTAGAAAATACTAATGTATTCTATATGAAATAATATATCATATACTTATCAACATATCTGTTTTTAAGAAATAATATATGAGGAAAATATTTTACTGAAATAACTTTTACTAATTAAGAAAACATTATATTGTTTAGCTATCCAATCTATTCAAATGTTATCAGTGTTGTTTCATGCAAATACAACTCATAGTAAATTATCCTCACAGTACAAAGTTTTTGTACTTAAGACTTAACGGTATCAACTTCAGGTACCGGTAAGTCTAAGTACACAGTTTTTGTACTGTGAAGTCCATCACCCCATATCACGCGGCTCAAGAAAATTTTTCGGGAAATGCAATTATGCGATAGCAAGGTGAATATTCCTACCCTTCACTACTTATATCTTTGACATTTAATAAGACTTGTATTATGTTCAGTACTGTCAGGAAATGTTATTGTTGTAAATGCCACTTAACAAGGACAAGGTATTGCATAGCATCTCCTTATCCGAGGACAAGGAAGAAACAGTTAAGAAGACAGGGAGGTGTGACTTGCATCCTCTTGCTGAAATTCCTTAAATTCTAGCACTCGTGATGTGCTTGAAGGTAATCATCATCGTAATGTAACTAACGTTAATATGTCAAGTGATAAATGAGTAAAGAAAGAAATCTGGGTTAACCTACACGCATAATAGAAACCGTGAGACAAATGACAGAATTATAAATAACTATCTATGTTCAAATTAGGAAGACATTCGGCCAATATTTTGAATATTCTACAGATGACTCTTTTTCACCTCACTGGCCATTTTAATTGCCATTGCATTGAAGTCTGGTTAAACATGTGTCTTTGTAGTCGCAATCTTCTGATTTCAATTTGATCAATCTTAAGAGGTCTTTCTGAGGTATTTGAGCTAGGAGAAGAACTTGGAATTCTAGGCAATCCAAAGCCAAATTATTGCACTGTCTCACAGAACTACTATCAGAATGAATCCTCCGAAGACCATTCTGTCAATTGTATGTTATTACACATTCTTGGTACCCAGCTATGGATTTACTTGTCCAGCTGGTTATAGTATTGACTAAAATTAGTATATATCTACCGTTGACCTAAAAATCTTCAGAGACCAAAGATTCTCTTGACGGGATAAGTTGACCACTGTTTTTATATGTTGAAGGTCAGGTCATGACTTGTAAATGATGCTCACAAGCTAGACATTGGATGACGGGTGGTACGGTATTTGACCGGTGATGCATGACGTTGACGTGCTTGTGAAAACAGGAAGTTGGCGGTGACGGGTGTTTCAGGTTGTGTGTGTGGGGGCTTCCCCGCTTCTCAGCTCCACTGTTGCTCCTGCGTCTTGTCGAGTACAATAGTGCTTTTGTGAAGATTCAGCTCTGCACCTTCGACAAAATAACCCTATGGAGTTAATCCCCGGCAAGGTAATTTTCTTGATCCCTTTCCTGTGCGGGGAAACCACTGCGAAAGCTATGTGGGTGTGTATCGGTTTGTCAGAGGAAAGAGAAATGAACTGGTTTGATTCTGCTCGTACTGCATGAAATTCCGCCTTCACTCAAGCACACGCTTGTTTACTTAACTCGACAAGAATGATAGATTTTTACAATGCAACACAAAACTAGTGAGCGTACGAATTTAAGAAGAAAGTGAATGCAAGTGGGCCCTACAACTGAACCGAGCATTATAATCTCATGGATCGGAGGAGGGCTCGCGACGCAAGAAGGGAGCAAAGGGGAATGGTGGCAGTTGGACTTTCTTGACGAAGCCAATGATTTCATTCTGGCTTTGACTGAAAAATTCATGGGAAGACTTGAGACGTGCATCTTGCCCCACTCTTCGTCTTTTCCTCCTCCGCCATATATTCTCCTATTGGCGACCATTTGCCAATGCCTTACATGACTACTCTCGCAGCTATTCCTCGTGGCTCTTAATCAGAGAGAGAGAGAGAGAGAGAGAGAGAGAGAGAGAGAGAGGTCCTCCGGATTTGAAAACATGCGCCGAAGGACCCTGTTGGTCCTAGACATGCAAATGATGGAATTAGTGAGAGCTAAACGTTTTCCCGGCTGTCTCTCTGATACGTCTGATATGGACTTGCATAATACAAGGTAAAAGAGCTTGCAACTGTCAAAACTGATAATCCAGAATCCTCCGAGCTTTGGATTTTGCTGTGTGCTTGTTGTTACACTTATGAAATCTTGCCACCTTCTCTTTTTCACTGTAAATTGTGTTTATGTTAATTCTAGATGACGGATTAAGTGACGGAAATCTCTTGACAAATGTCGGGAAACAATGTTGGCTATGTTTGAAGACAGTTGATCTCTTGCACGCACTATGACAGGTTTATAAGAGGCGACAACAACAACGGCTCAATAGCCGATCACCGCCTAAAGGGTCAGCCAAGTATCAGAGGAAGAAGGATCAGCTTCGGCCTGCCGACCAGATAGTTGCTGTCTTCGACCCGAACGCTGCAGATGGGGATGGGTTGAGGACTTCAAGAGGGAAATTTCTCTATGGAAGGCCTACTTCAGGCAGCCTTGCCGGAGCTGGCGATGAGACAGAAGCTTGCATCGGCAAGCTGCAACGCAGTATCAAAAGACAAAGCCCTGAAATTCTCGTAAAGTGGGTAGGCAAGAAGAGGAGGAACCCGGCGAGAGTTGGCCCAGCCTTAGGAAATCTTATAGACTTCGGAAATACAGATGGGAACACCCCCATTTCTTCTGATGCTCAGAAACTTGAGAAAGATCCATCATTCTTCTCAAGGCGGAGGGACCCAAGACGCAAAGTAAGGGCTGCTCTCCGAGTGTTACGACTTCAAGACAGGGAAGGCTCTGTAAATTTATGTGGACCAAAGATGATTTCGAATGATAGCACCACGATGGTGGCACTGATGGATACATGTCCAAAGACTCTTCCTCAGAGTCCTGTAGGACCAGTGACACCAGTTCCTTCAAAGCAGAAAAAGGCCCAAAAGAGGAAGTCATTGTATACCCTGGGTGATGTTGCCGACGTCCAACAGGTCATGATGGAAACTCACTCACCAGCCAGAAGGAAGTTGTTCGAGCCATCCTTAGGAGCACTCATTTTAGACGTTTCGGAACGGAGGGATTTGTTTTATTCTCAAGAAGATGACGCCTGCTCAAAATTACCTTGTGCTTCCCGTTCACTTATTACAGTGGAGACGAGTCAGGTTACGCCTGGGATTTGGATGGACCCAGCACTGGAGTGTCGGCTTGAGGATATGCAAAATGCTTGTGAGGTTGCACATTGCTACCAAACATTGAACCCATGCGGATTATTAGATGGATGTGAAGGGAACATTGGTATTCTAGGAGTCAATTCAAATTTCGTACATAGCCAAGGTGATAGCCTTACTCCTACCCAGCAACCTCGTAAGTTACAGGATATTCTCCCATCTATCAGTGGTGGATATAACACTGATCAGGTGCAAAATGTTCTTGATATATCCAAGAATGTACGTGGCTGTCAGTTGTGTCCTACCACTCCCGTCAAATTCAGCGTGCCTAAGAAGTCAAGGTCCAAGGTCAAACCCCGTCACCAAACACAGCAAGGTAACAATTGCATTGTTCAGCAGCCTCGACACTGTCTGAATGTCGAACATGCAACTCCCTTGCGCAGTGTCGAGAGTCTGGAGTTTAGAAGTGAGACAAAAGAGCAAGATGTACTCTTTGATCTCAATGAACCTCCACTACCTATCCGTGATGAGCCTCCTATGAATAACCATGTAGAGCCTCCTGACAAAGACGAGAAAATTTCCAAGAGGAAACATCGGAGGCCGAGGGTTCTGAAAGATGTGACCAAGCCTGTTCGTGTTCCTAGGCCTAAGAAGACTCCCATTCCTCGGAAGGGTCCACACTCTAAGCCCAGGAGGACAAAGAAGACTGATGCTCAAGCTGCTCAAATGAAGCATCAAGGTGGTTTTGTTGAACGTTATAATGTTTCTGAAGGTCAGGCGGACAGAAGAGTTCCAGAATACCTCCTCAGAGAGGACTCACTAGGGTCCATGCCGAAACCTCGGAGGATGAGAGTAGCTGCCCGCTTGCGAAGAAGCCTTTCCTTGCAGGTTGTTCGGGAGGACTCGGTTGTAGCAGTAGAGAGTGTTGCTGTTGGCATTGCAGACCTTCAACTTCTGAACTCCTCGACCACAAAGGCAATAGTTTTACATTCCAGTAACCAAAGAGCTATAGTGCCATATGCGAAGCCGCGACTGAAGGTACAGAAGCCCAAGGTTCAGCTGGGAGATGACGATCTACAGTGGTGGAAGCTTGTTATGACCCATGGTCCAACTTATGAAGACAAAAACGATGAAAAAACTGAAGAGAAGTGGGCAAAGCAGAGATTCCTATTCAAGATGAGGGCGGATAATTTCATCCAAGTTATGCATGCAGTGCAAGGTGCGTCTAAATTCAACTTCTGCTTATTTCTACTCAATTCCAGTTGTTTCGTTTTGTGTAAAACTGTCTGACTGGTAGATCAATATAATTTGTTACACTACTAAGAAACATAAAGATGAAAATTGATCACGAGTAATGTTCGGTATTCCTCCCGGTTATATCTCATCCATCACCTTACATGTTATATCACTTTTAGAATGAGCATGAACAAGTCTCTAGAATCTCTTGTCTCCTATGGTCTGATGCTAATTTATGTCTCATGCAGGTAATAGACGGTTTTCAAAATGGAAAGGTTCCGTCATTGATTCTATTGTGGGTGCGTTCCTCACGCAAAATGTTTCGGATCATCTGTCAAGGTAATTCCTTCATATTTTTCACACCCGCTTCTATTTGATCTACTATTACTCATGTTGTTAACTGGCGATTTGTATGATTGCAGCTCTGCCTTCATGTTGCTGGCATCCAGATTTCCAGTCTCAGTTTCATCAACTTGTGGACATAATATATACAAAGAAGTAAGCGTGGAAGAGACTTTTGATTCAAGGGACAATTATACAGATGCCACACCCTTGAGAATGAGAGATGCCGATAAGGATTACCTTGTCGAAGAACCGACTGCAGTTGAAGATCCACCCTTAGTCCAAGAACCTCCTGTTGTTGAAATACCATCAACTCCTGAAGAGCTAGAGGAAGAACATAGAGATTTTTGGCATTCAACTCCTATTCATTCTGGAGAAAAATCTCAAATTAACAGGAGTTGTGAGCATCAATTTGACCATGATAGTAGTCCTGTGGTAAATAGTAAAATTTCAGGTGATTTTAAAATTCGTGATGAATTCGGGGTTGAAATCCCATCAATACCTAATGGTCAGCAAGAAGTTGAAGATAAGGACTCTTTGATCCCAAATGATCCGGAAGGTGCAGTTGAGAATCCTTTGATCGATCTAGCTCAGAGCATAGGAGCAGACAATATTTCTTCTGATGAGATTCTCAGTACTTTGGAAGAGAAGACGGACAAAGTATCTTACATTGGTCTAACTGGTTCAGAAAGGGCCAGGTTAGAACAAAATAAGACAAATAGCAAGGATAAAATAAATTGGGAGGAAGTACGAAAATCGTTTGCAGATCAATCTTGTGAAAGACCTCAAACTCTTGGGGAAGATGCGGTTGATTGGGAAACAGTAAGAACAACTGATGTGCATCAGATTGCTGATGTGATCAAAGAAAGAGGAATGAATAATATGCTAGCAGGAAGAATCAAGGTGAGACTCATAGATTATTCTGAGCAGGACACAACGATCACATTTATATCAATGTTTGTTACTACTTGAAGATAGTTGAGTCATATAACATGAAGTTGTTGGATTTTAGGAACCTTGATTTCTGTATTGAGACTGATGATTTTTTAATTGTGGTAATGAAATTTTGATATATATATTTGTTTGGGATACTTTCGCAGGGGTTTCTTGATCGAGTACAAATTCATCACGGCAGTTTAGATCTTGAGTGGTTAAGGACTATCCCACCTGAGCAAGCAAAGTAAGTCATTCAAGTGTTCTTTGACGATTCTGTTTTGCGTGGAGAGTATGATTCTGATTGTGATTGTCATGCTAGATCTTGCACTTACATGGATGTGAAATGTTTGCAAGAAGATCTGAACTCTATTTTTCTTGTGCATATTAACTGATCAATACTTAATTCTCGTTCCAGAAAATTCTTGCTCAGTATCCACGGACTTGGTCTGAAGAGTGCCGAGTGTGTCAGGCTTTTAACTCTCCATCATTTAGCCTTTCCTGTAAGTGTTTTTATTGTTCGATATCCTGTCTAGAAGTCAATACTGGATATTTTAACTATAAGTTTGTCCACAATTATTGCTTTTTAAGTCTGTTTCTGTCGTTACTGAGTGAAAGTCCTTTTCCAGGTGGATACGAATGTTGGGAGGATTTGTGTGAGACTTGGATGGGTGCCGATTGAACCACTTCCCGAGGTGCAATTGTTGAGTGAGCTAGAGACGTAAGTTTGCTAAATTGGATATGGATTTTGATCCATTTATATGTCTCCTCCCACAATCAATTCGCTGTATCTCATTCTAATGACAAACTATTTTCCAATATTTCAAGTTATTTTTTGTTAAGATTTTGTTACTCATAAAAATATTTCTTGGATATTAGATAGAGGTTAAATGCACATAAATCACTCTTGGATCTGATGTAAATCTGATGATATTTGTTAACAGGTACCCTGTTCAGGAAAACATCCAGAAGTACCTGTGGCCAAGACTGTGTACTTTGGATCAGCTCACTCTGTAAGATTTCAAAATACTCTCCTTATATGAAGAGTATGTATGATAGAAATATTGAGGTGTTGTTCACAGTTCTCAAATTCATTTCAAACATAAGTAAAAATTAATGTTATTTGATTATGAACAACCTTCAATTTACTCTTTCTTATGCCTTTCTATCGCAGGTATGAATTACATTATCAGATGATTACATTTGGCAAGGTATTCCCATGTAATTTTAGAGCTCTTTGATTGGTCAGCTTATGATAGTTGATAGATTTGTAAAGTTGAATTTGTAAATTTGATCATGCACTTTGTTCTTGACTAAAATACTAAATCATCAGAGTTTCGCCAAGCAGTTACATTCTAAGAAAACTCTTTACAGTAAGTAAAAGTCGTTCCTCACTCAATCCATCTATTATATCAGGTTTTCTGCACCAAAAGGGATCCTAATTGTCATGCGTGTCCTCTGCGCAATGACTGTCAACACTATGCGGATGCAATGACCAGGTATATTCTTAGTTGAGGTTACAAAAGCTAAACACGCTTATTCCTGTTTTGTGATGCAAAAGTGGAGAAAGATATTTTAAAGCGAGATTGAAGTAACTGGATATTCTGAACAGGACGAGAAAACCAGAGATAACTTCTACGGCACATTGGGAGTCTCGCGCCTCACAAAGTGAAACGCTTGCTTTACATGCAGCAACTGCTAACCTCATGGAAAGACTTAACCAGCCAACTACAAGTACTGCAATATGTGAACCTATCATCGAGGAACCATCGAGCCCTACCAGAAACTCATCAACTCGCGATGATGATATAATCGAAGTTCATGATGAAGGGAATGCCCCTGGAGTAATTGTGCAGACCCCTGAATTCCCCTCTCATGCCCTCGTGGTTGTGCCACCTGATGTGGCCTCAAAACCAGTACCAAAGCTGAAGAGTGTGGGCCGTCTACGAACTGTGCATTATGTGTAAGTTTCTTACATGTGTCTAGTCGTTTCATAGAGCCTTATATATGTTCTATTCAATTTTTGAACCTTGAATGTTTTCTCACAAAGAACTTTGGATCCTCCTTGCAGATACGAGTTGAAGGATGATCACCCACTCATGCATATGGTGAGTCTTTATTTCAACTTCAGCATTCCATCACCCAACATGAATCCGTTTAGTCGACTATGTTCTGGTCAGCTGACCTAGGTTCTTTCAGTATGTTAGGACAAGGTAAATCATCATTTTTCCTATGTTTTCTAGGAACATACATCCTATAGACATCTTAATTTGTTTAGGTGGGATGGTAAAGTTTAAATTGTGTACTGTCGATACCATTATCTTCCGGCTACGACAGACGAATACTCATGAGTAAAGTTTAACATAATGATCATGAATCAGATTGGTGCCAGGGTAGAGGATGATCCATGCCCCATTCTACTCGCCATTTGGGGTCCAGGTAACAGATTGACTCGACTGAGTTTGATTTCTAAGTATCTACTGCTACTTGTAGTCGTTGCAAGCTTTTTGAGGTGATAGACAAAGCTGAGTCTTTGTGTGTTTCTTCTTACAGGAGAGTCACCTGATATGGATGTAGTTTCAAATGATTCTCAAGATGACAAAGTGACAGACAATTTTCATGAAGGCAAGGAAGAAACTGTTAAAGGAACTTTGTTGGTGAGTCACACTAGTATCTCTTTTTTCAATATCACACATATATTCATCATCTAGTAGGCCATTGTTAAGTGGAAGTACCAAGAAGACTTGTTTGTCAAGGTGGAAAGGCCTTGAACACCATCTTCTATGAACATGATACCTGAGCGGCATTAGTGAGTGGCATATCTTTTGTATAATTCATCTGCCTGGTGTCTTTCTCAGGTGCCCTGTCGCACTGCAAACAGAGGGATTTTCCCTTTGAATGGCACTTACTTCCAAGTCAATGAGGTAACACTAATCTGTTCAACTCATTACAAAATAGTTATTGAAGTAAGTTCTAGATATTCACAGTGTTAAGTAGAACACCCTAACGTCTTGAACTTGTTGACAGGTGTTTGCAGATCACGAGACGAGCATTAATCCCATAGAAGTTCCTAGGAAGTTACTGTGGGATCTCACACGAAGATTTGTATACTTTGGAACTTCCGTTACATCAATTTTTAAAGGTATATGAAAACTTCTACAACATCTCATCTATCTAGTTTTATGTATCTTATGAAGGTCTATTTGCACCTAGCACTTTATTCTGTCTCTATTAACCAATTAACATATGAACATAACATTCTCTTACCATCTATGTTGTGGTTTATTATAGGTCTCAACGTGGACGAGATATCATACGCATTTCAATGCGGTATATTTTGCGATCACCAACCTCTTCAGCAGAGATTGTTTATACAGCGATCTAATTATTGAAAATCGACATGAATTTGGTACTTTCCATTGTTTTATGTAAATCGAAATTTAGTTTCATCTAACTATTGTAATTGGTTGTAAATTTGTGCACAGGTTATGTTTGTGTTCGGGGCTTTGACAATGTAACGAGAGCACCCAAACCTCTCCAACCAAGGTTACATTCAGCTGCGAGCCTCGGTAGCAAAAGAAGACAACAACAGCCAAAAGACACTGGTGAAATAAATGGCCACAATGCAAAGGCACAAACTAAAAGAAAGCAAAAGCAGAAGGTTTCAGAAAACACTAGTGTGTAAATTGTGATGTAGGTAAGTATACGAAGTTCATGCTAAGTTTCTTACCATGGTTGGTAGATCAGGTCTGGTAGATTCTTAACTTAAGTAAATCTGGATTGAATCTCTACGCTTCTTACATCGTTTTTGCAGATTTGCGCATTCTGGACCTTCATGGTGGACAGCCACCAATACAGTACAGAAGAATTGTAGTGTAGAGTAAGGCGAAGAAATTTAGTGTAGATTACTCTAGATTAAGTCTCTTCATACTCAGACGAATATCCAGACAACTATCACGTGGATTCAATAATAGAAAACAAGAGAAGAGAGTTCTGTTTCTATTTATTACATTGTCAACATGTAATCATCATTCTTGATCCCTTGATGGTCAAATAAACTTCTGAATCGGCTTACCAAAGGTTGAGCTAGGATCTCCTGAATTTTGATATTTCACAACAAATTCTGAAATCATCTTCTCGTTCAGACTGAGTAAATTGTTTTTTCAGACTTTTAGAGTTCTCTCAGTGTTCTATCAAATGAACTTTGTTGTACTTCTAACAACCCCCTCAGCATTCCTGTGCTGTGTAAGATTTACAACTGTATTCTTGCAACAAGTCATATTCCAAGTCCTTTGTTCAATTTAGTTATAGCAATGTGAGCTGGTCTTCTCATCCAGATTCTTCTAACAGAAATGAATATTATAGCTTAAAGTAAAGACACGTAAAACACGTATATATTCGCATGGAATCGAACTTGAAGGACCATACAAACTATCAAACGATTGGAACATGCTAAACTGTATCTCATTATCTCCAATCTGAGCAAAATAGTCAACACTCGGAGAATTTTCACATCACAGGTATGAAACATATTCATTCTTGCGCTGGTCATTGTTTTGTGTTTGAAAACGACTACCCTCACACAAAAAGTCATGGCCTGAATGCTTCATCCACTCTTCTGGCCGGACATCGATGATGACATCACGCGTGTCAGGGTTTCGTCGATGAGTCTGGAATGGAAGTAATTGTTGTGAGTACAAGGTGTTTGTTGTAAAACCACCAATCCCTGCCGAAGATTTGTCAAAATACTACCACCTCGTCTTTGCTCTTACAAGTATTATTTTGTGTACATGTTGTAAGTATCTCTCACAGGACCTGAGTAAAATATATTTTGGATTGACAATGAGTTGTAGAAAGTAATAGTAAAATGCATTAGAGGATATTGTGTTAAGGTACCTTTGTGGCTAAGAGTTCGTGTGTAGAGGTTGAAAGTTCGGACAGCAAGGTTCTATATATTGTTGCGTAGTTATTGGAATAATCAGTTTAGGAAACTCCCCTTGCAAGTGTTATTCGCTCGTATATATATCACACATTTGAACGACGGATTGTTCAGAAGTGGGGTTGTGGGTGAAGATAGAACATTGCTTGAATTTTGAGATGATATCAATTCACGACCGAAGCCTAATTCTAGTGTAACTTGTTGAGGATAAAAGGAGTGGTAATAAGATATTGCGAGATAAATGCAGATTACAGGACGAGTTGTGGTAAAGATATTTCCATAATTTATCCATATTTATATCATCACATTTATTATAAGAAGTTCTGATGGTGTTTTCATTCTTCAGAATGATTTGGACGTAGCAATTCTTTCATAAAGAGATACCGTTCCACCCATTTTCTACCTAAAGTTCTCCCTCCAGGTAATTATTGCATCAAGTTCTCTGATTGTGTCTAACATCTTACTTCTGCATGTTCTTGCTTGCATTTGGACTTTTGGAGATATGCAGGGTTTGATATGTACTTAAGTGGTGGTTTCTTTCGGCTTCCTTCATTGTACTTGTCGTCCCACATTGTGCGTTCTACTTTCTTTCTTTCTACGTTCATATAACTCAACCTTTGCCAAAAAAACACTGTCCATGGGTTGAAACTTAATGCCATCGTGTAGAGTTTCGTGAACCGCTGCAAGCATGGTCTGATCTTTGTCTCGGAAAATAGCTTGATTCTGATTCATCAAAATAAACTGTTCGTTAACTAGTATCTCATTCCGTGCTGAATAAGATACCTGGCAGCTATTTGTTGCCAACCTAGCTGCAAAAGCATCGTAGTATTCCTTTCTCCACTTTAGAATGCTCTGAAATAATACTGCTGCAATTCTGTACCATACCTGTACTTTTTTCTCTCCCAGAACCTTGGTTGCTTACAAAACTTCTCCTGCATATTGTTCTGTCTCTGCAATATTGCGTTACATATCTCTATGCTTTTTATTGCAACTCTTTGACAAATTAGACTTGCTATAAAAACAGTGTGTTTTCCTCTTCAGTATCACATTGTTGCAAATGAAAATGTCTTAGGCTGCCGGATCCCCCAACTATTATTCTTTGATAAGGACCACCTACAAGGATGTTTCCATACTTTGTGCTATTTACCTGGCCCCGTGCGTACTTACTTTCTTCGAAGTAGCGCACGCGGGTAACGCACTCTGTCAAATGTGAAGGTCTAGGTGTAAATTTAAGTAGCATTACTTTAGGTAGGATTTGTAGCAATTTTTTGTCTTTAGCAATGAAGCCTTGTATACGGACGAATTGACTTGGTATTCTCACAAATATGATGAGAGGAATATGATAGTAATATGGTCCTGCCAGTCATATGCGCGAATTAGGGTGATAGGTTTTATAAGGCAGGAAGTAGCGACCTCTATAGATTAGCCTCTAGCGCTGTCGATAACCTGCAACGAAAGAGATTTCAATAATGGTGGAAGAACAGCCTAGAAGGAAGATTATGAAGTTTCTGTTTGAGAGAAAGGTGAAAGTTGATAGTATTGTACCTTTTACCATCATTTTGGTGGTCATCTAGTCAGATATCACGAGAGAAAATGACTAACTTGACGCGGCCTAATTGTCGACGTTGAAGATCTCAGAGGTATTGTTTTTGTCCTGACGATATTTTTGTCATCAAGGAAGATGATGGATTACATACGGGCCAAATTGATGAGTTTGACAAACTTCACAGGTTTTTTTGTCCTGGAAAACATTGCATTAAAAGAGACTCGTGTTAATTGAGAAAAATTACATTATCATCAATCAAGTCAGTCAGATGACTGACTTGACGCTTGCCAAATTAATGACGACCTCGGTTTAATGTTCATTTCTAATCTATGATCTGATCAAGGGAAACCTAGGGCAAAAGGTGTCCGCCCACAATCGAAGCCGAGATAATGACATTAGAGCCTTGGATTTTCGTGACTACTACACTCGGCGAGCTGAACAAGAATGATTTTGAGCCCACAATCGAAGCCGAGATAATGACGTTAGAGCCTTGGATTTTCGTGAACCCGAAACCCTAAACCCACTGGGCGAACTGAACACTAATGATTTTGAGCCAACAAGCCTAGTTGCTTGTCCTTATATCTGACAACGAAGTTTATCACGGGGACGTGGCAGTCCTGAAGAATTCTTTTCGTCGTGAAAAATATATAGCCATCATGAAGTAAGATGATGGATTATATATGGGCAAAAATGACGAGTATGACAATCTTGGCAGGTTTTTTGATGACGTTGAGTCATGACCAAAGTTGCACTATAAATAACTCTATACCAGATGGAAGGAAAGATATGGACGTAAAACTGGAAAGAATTGTTTGATTCAGAAAAATTTATCTGCTATCATCAATTTGGTATGTTACATCCGTCTTCATTATGATTATCTTATTTGGCACCATGAGGATATGAAGCATATTCATCTAGAGTAATCTTTTCAATCTTTTGAACTAGATAAAGTTAGAAAATATTTATATTAGGAGTTAACTCCATGTGCTATTAACTTCTAACAAAAACATTACTTTAACCTCGTTAGAAGGATTAAGGTAAATTTTGTAATATATGTGAGATTTTGTTTTACTAATTTTTTTCCCAAGAAAAAAGGTTTCTGAAAAGATTCTATTTTTTCATGAAGATGATTTTAGATCTAAATCTAAATTTTTAATTTTATTCTGTTTCCAATCGCGGAGACAAATTGAAGCAAAATAGTTTGCACTTTTCTCGACAACAATTTTGGGTTGAGGATCTCCGGACCGCCACGTGATGGGAATTTTTTTCCTGCTTGGAGTGGATGGTTTCACGCATGGCCTATTTGTTGTACATGTCATTCACTGGAGCTCAAATCCAAAAAATAACACAATGATCAAAGACAAGAATGGTGGTTCCGATCCACGACTCTCGAACAATGTTCTTGTTCGAGAGTAGTGGTATTACTATTTGAGTGGGATGTGAGCTTCACTTCACTTTTGGATTTGTTCCTCAAGTGAAATGAGCGTTGAGTTGCAATAATGGAATTTGTGTTGGTCAGGGTTTAGCCGACAATCCTGACACAATCTATGTGTACGTTTTGCTGTTGTCAAAGATGATTGAGCCACCATGATGTCACCACCCATCATTTGACATTTCTTTACATTTGTATCACAAATGTCGGATGAATAGTTCTAGCATCACTTGCAGAATGATAAAGACTAAGGTTGAAGTGAGTGCAGGTTGTTCTCATCGTCCACATGAGATTTGGATCGAAAGTTCAAATGATTTTCTCAGTCGTAAATGTTAGTGCAGAGTGAAGATCTGAAGAGAAGCAGATTTTTTCATTAGGTGTGTTTTCATCCTCTTTGAAGAGATATTCATTTGTAATCGGAAAAAATATAAATCGAAATTTAAATTAAGATTTAAATCGAATCACATAGCCATATTTATTATCTAAATTTTTAAGACAAACAGTCTCCAGCATTTGATTAAAGGAGACGGTTATCATGAATTTGAGGACATTGGATTTGATAAAAGACAAATCAAAGTCAAATTGAGTGTTAGAGTTTTGAGTAAGAAGTTGAGAACTAAATGACACTTTCATTAAAAATATGTTGTGAATATTGTTATACTACATTTCAATGAAAGTAATGAATGAGTATGATGACTTCAACACTCTTATAAAAATTCCAGAGATTTGTGAAATAGAATGATTGTTTTGTCAAGTTGATGACTTTTATTACAAAAAATTTGTATTATGAATATTTAAGATCAAGTGAATGATTTCTATGATTTTATAATTGATTTTTAGAATCTTGTTATAATTGATTATAAAAAGCTTTATCATGACAAATTTATTTTAAATTTGTCATGATAAAGATTTTTATTTTATATTTATTATCTACTTGTAGAAATAATTGTCATGTTTGTTGTTCATAGGAACTCAATTATATGTAAAAAAATTGTAACTATATTGTTTTGTGGTGATTTATGATATAGTTTAATGAATATCATATCCTTCACACATTTCATTTGATGTGGCTTATCCGTAAACATGATTTGTGGATTATAATATTCAAGTAAATAAGATGATACTAAGAATTTTGGACGCAAAGATTATCTACATTTAGTGATGAATCCCAAAACGAAAA